AGGAAAGGTTAAGGGATGACATAACAACCAAGTCTAAATATTTGAAAAGGTGTCATGTTGAAGTTAGAGCCAGCTTATATTTCAGTGTCCCAGATATGAAGCAATGCATTCAAACTAAAAGAAAAGAGATTCCACCTAAATATTAGGAAGAGCTGTTAGTGGAATATGTTGCTTCAGAGTGTGGTGGACTCTCCTCTTCTGGAGGTTTTTGAACAAGACGCTGGGTGGCCATCTGTTGGGACTGCTTTGATTGGGTGTGTCTACATAGATGTTGGAATGGATGGCTCTTGGTGTATCTTCCAACTCTATGATTCTATGATAAACTGTTATTGAGAAAGAGGGAGTCAACTGAGAAGAGCAACTGGCCACCAGCTCAACATGACAGTGAGATAGTGAATTCACTTCAGGCTTTAAACTAACCTTTAAGGCAGCTATCCAACGTGCTGAACCTTGCATAAAATATATTAAGCCACTTGGAGAGCCCCATTAAAACTAGCTGAAACCTCAAGTGGGTTTGCCACCTTGCAGACATGTGAGCTACCCACCACCACGAGAGGTAACTCGGCGTGCATTTTTACAGCTCAGTCTGTGTATATGTGTTTTGTGTGTGTATATATTTGTATATGTATGTGTTTGCATATATGTGTGGTTTTGCGCATGTAATGTTTTTTTTTTTTGCATTTTAAGTCTCTTCTGCTGTGTTTTTCAGTGTTTTTAATGAGTGATGGTCACTCATTGGTCTGATAGGTATATTGTGTCCAAATTTGGTGTCAATTCGTCCAGTGGTTTTTGTTATGTTAATCCCACAAATGAACATTACATTTTTATTTATATAGATCAACCCAGTTTGATACCATTTTAACTGCCATGTATCATTTCAAATGGTCTTTGGTTGGAGTCCTGGTGCCTCACAATCTACAGGATTCCATAGCATTGAGCCATGGCAGTTAAAGTGGTGTCAAACTGGAATAACTATGCAGTGTAAATGCACCCTAGGAATTCTTATGGCCCTTTCGCACAGCCATATAACCCAGAATATCAAAGCAGAAAATCCCACAATATCTGAGTCCACAGTGCCACATATTCCAGTTCAAAGCAAAAAATTTGGGATTTTATCCAGGTATGTGGAAGGGGCCTTACTATAACCTTACTGCAGCCTATTCCTACACATTGTTACACATAAAGAGCAACTCCCAGTAAAAAAGTTGCTGAATGCCACCAATGTCCACAAATCTGTTAGCAACAACGTGAAGTATTTACACTGGATTTTGTAGGAGATGGATTCAAAGGGCCCTGCCCTAAAGTTCCAATGAATGGTTGAAAATGTCAAAACTTTTTTTTTAATTCCCAAAAAACAGTAGATGTATGAATATTTCTGAAAGTTGTGGGGAACCATCCCCTATTATCTTGTGTCATTGTACAGAAAATTCAAGCAGATTGCTCTTGTAGTTTTTTTTAAGTTGTTTATAAAAACTTTGAAAATTCCCCAAAAATTCATAGATGAGTGAAACCTTCTGAAATTTGGTGAGCTAACAGTGCCAAATATGTTCTGCCACTGCAGCACGTTTCATTCCAATAGCTTTAAAAATGAGGGAGAAAGGAGCCCATGAACTTTCTCCAATTTGAGTAATTACATGCAATTACAGTAACGGAAAAGAAATGAAATTCCGTTACTCACGTTATAGTAACGATTTTTCCCCAGTAAGGATACTTTGGAAACACTTTAGAAATGAAATGCCAGTTTTGTAATGACTTTTGAGCCATTTTTTTTTAATGGATCGCACATCCCTAATTAAATAATAGTTGACACCACTGTTATGGCTCAACACTATGGAATCCTGGGATTTGCTACTTCATCACACTAGAGAAAGAATAATAACAACACTTTATTTATATTCCGCCCTTCTCACCCCGAAGGGGACTCATGGCGGATCACAGCACACATACATGGCAAATATTCAATGCTGCTTTGTATAGAGAATACACAAACAGACAGAACAGAAAGGAGGTGTTATCGACTCAGTGTCCAGCTGTTTTTGGTGCCAAGGAAAGTGAGTCCAGCCACAGGGGGTGCTGTTGCTCCATTCGCTATGACAAAGAGCTGTCAGGACTTCCTCCTTCCTCTTTGGTTGCCCAGCATTTTCTGATATTCTTTCTTTATGGCACCGTAAAACACCTCCCCCACTTTCAGAGGTACCTAATTTCTCTAATTACAGCGAAAGCTGTTTCCAAACTGCTTAGGTAAACAGTGAGCTAGACTGACAGTCGACTGCTCACGCCAACCCGGGGCTTTGAACTTGCAACCTTTGGGTTGACAGATCTTATAGTTACTGGTGATTTACCAGCTGTGCTAAACAGCTTGGCTGATAATATGATAGCTGGGTCTGGAAGCTCCGAGTGTTACGGAGATGCCACAAAGTTGAGTGTGAATAAGGGAAGGGGGGGGGGCGGGAGTGAGAACGGGGAGAGAGAAGTAAGGATAGAAAGGAGGGGATGCTTTGGGTAAGGTTTAGGACAAGGTTTAGGGTTTGGGTTAGGGTTATGGTAAGGTTAGAGGTTTCAGTTAGGGTACGGTTTAGGGTTAGGGTAAGGTTTTGGGTTTGCGTAAGGATTAGAGTAAGGGCTTAGGCTTACGGTGCGGTTCAGGGTTAGGGTTTCACCATTAAAGAACTTGGTGATAGTATGATAGCTGGGTCTGGAAGCTCCCAGCGTTACGGAGATGCCGCAAAGACAGGTGGGAAAAAGGGAAGAGAGGGGGTGGAGTGAGAGCAGGGAGAGCGAAGGAAGGATAGAAAGGAGGGGACGCTTAGGGTAAGGGTTAGAGCAAGGTTTGGGGTTTGGGTTAGCATAAGGGTTAGGATAAGGGTTAGGATAAGGCTTAGGGTTATGGTAAGGGTTTGGATAAGGGGTTAGGCTAAGGCTTACGGTATGGTTCAGGGTTAGGGTTTGGGTAAGGTTTAGCGTAAGAGGTTAGGCTTAGGGTTTGGGTAAGAGGTTAGGCTTAGTCTTACGGTATGGTTCAGGGTTTGGGTAAGGGTTAGGGCAAGGGGTTAGGGTTAGGTTAAGAGTTTAGGCTTAGGCTTATGATATGGTTCAGGGTTAGGGTAAGGGGTTTGGGTTAGGGTAATGGTTTAGGCTTATGGTATGGTTCAGAGTTAGGGTTTGGGCTTAGACTTCCGGTACGGTTCAGAGTTAGGGTTTCACCATTAAAGAACTCTTACATTCCTTCTATATTATCTGCCTCCGGCCTGGCTTACATTAGCTAAGTCTCTCTTGTGCAAACGGCGCTCCCGAAGGAGCGATGCGGCATCTTGCACGGAGCTTCCAGACCCAGCTATCTTACTATTACCACCTCTGGTGGCACAGTGGGTTAAACCCCTGTGCCGGCTGGACTGAAGACCTACAGGTTGTAGATTCGAATCAGGGGAGAGTGTGGATGAGCTCCCTCTATCAGCTCCAGCTTCTCATGTGGTGACATGAGAGAAGCCTCCCACAAGGATGGTAAAACATCAAAAACATCCGGGCATCCCCTGGGCAACATCCTTGCAGACGGCCAATTCTCTCACACCAAAAGCAACATGCAATTTCTCAAGTTGCTCCTGATTATATATCCTATATATTATTAAAGATTACTGCAGATGCAGACTGTGGCCAGGAAATCAGAAGACGCTTACTTCTTGGGAGGAGAGCAATGTCCAATCTCGATAAAATAGTAAAGAGTAGAGACATCAGACTGGCAACAAAGATCCATTGCCTAGTCCAAGCCATGGTATTCCCTGTAGTCACCTACGGATGTGAGAGCTGGACCTTAGGGAAGGCTGAGCGAAGGAAGATCGATGCTTTTGAACTCTGGTGTTGGAGGAAAGTGCTGAGAGTGCCTTGGACTGCGAGAAGATCCAACCAGTCCATCCTCCAGGAAATAAAGCCCGGCTGCTCACTGGAGGGAAGGATACTAGAGACAAAGTTGAAGTACTTTGGCCACATCATGAGGAGACAGGAAAGCCTAGAGAAGACAATTATGCTGGGGAAAGTGGAAGGCAAAAGGAAGAGGGGCCGACCAAGGGCAAGATGGATGGATGGCATCCTTGAAGTGTCTGGCTTGACTCTGAAGGAGCTGGGGGACCGAAATAAAGGCTACTGACTGACTGACTGAAGTGACTGGACTGACCTTGAAGGAGCTGGGGGTGGTGACGGCCGACAGGGAGCTCTGGTGTGGGCTGGTCCATGAGGTCACGAAGAGTCGGAGACGACTGAACGAATGAACAACAACAATTAAATCATAAACACCATAATTAAACAAAGAATAGCACTTTGGACACATGTATAAAATCATGCAGTTTCTCAAATCACTCCTGACACGACAAAATAAACAAATAATATAAATAAATAAATAAATAAATAAAAACCAACCACCTCCTGCCCAATGAATCCCCTTTAAAACCGGTTTGTGTCTCCTGCAGAATTCTGGGGTTTGTAGTTTAGTGAGGCTGTTAACGGCTCCTCCCTAAACTACAAATCCCAGAATTCTTCAGGAGTCAGGAGGAGGTAGCAACCAGATTTAAAGTGGAATCATTCTCTAGTGTGATGAGGTCCTAACAGTGAGGTATCACAGCATTCTTTTGGGAAACAGGAAATAGATTGTCAAGTAACAACCATCTCCATGGCAGCTGAAGCGGTGTGGATGCCCCCTGAGTCACTGCTGAAGTCAGAAGTGGGGTCAAAGGGCCCTCATTCCGCTTGCAGTAAACAGTCGCGCGGTGCTTACGTCGTGATGGTCCTCCACCACCCAGACCGGCAGCGCTGGGTAGAGCCTCCGCGGGCTCCCCGCCCCGCCTTCTTCCTCCTCCTCGCCGCTCATCTCGAACGCTCGAAGACCCAAAACAGAACGCTGCGGCCGGCAACGTTCCAAGGCCCGGGCGCCGGCAGCCTTCCGGGGGGAAGCCTCTCGAGGTGACACAGGCGGCAGGCATGGTGGGAAAGCGAGGAGGAGGAGGAGGAGCAGGAGGCGGAGCCATGGACCTCAAGCCGCCGGAGGGAAGAGGGAAGAGGCCAACAAAGGGCGCCGATGCCGCTTCCCTCCCTTTGCAAGAGGCACAAACACAGGGCTGCCCAAGGCGTCTTCCCCTCTGATGTCTTCCTCCGGCCCTTTCCTCTTCCGGGGCTCTCCCGCCCTTTTCCCCCTCCGCCAGCCCGGATTCTAGGTAAGCTTCTTCCTCCAGATCTCTGCTGTAGACTGCACGCAGCTTGGCTCCATGCTGTCCTGGGGTTTGCTGTCCACACTCTTGCCAAACCCAATTCTGCATGGCTGCATTCATTCTACAAAGGCAGGACTCCTTTGCTGTGGATGCCTTCCTCCCCGAGCCCTTCCACACTGCTATGGAGCCCAGATGATCAAGGCAGACAATCCCACAATATCTGCTTTGAACTGAGTCTACACTGCCATATAGAGCTGTGTGGAAGGGGCCTATGACTGTAAAATCCGAGATGATGTCCCCTTCCCTTCCCCCAGCACACTTTGGCAGGAAAGACTCTAAAGAACTTGCAAAACTACAACTCCCAGGATCCCTCCTTACTCCCATAACATTGAGGCCCCTTCTGCACTGCTATATTATCCAGATTACCAAATTGGATAATCCACATTATCCTCTTTGAACTGGATTATATGACTTCACATTTTTATTCATCTTGTCAGGAGCAGACCGAACAGTTGCGGTGCCTTTTTTAACAAACAAACAAACTAACAAATAGACAGACAAAACATAAAGTTTGCAAGCTTGGTAGTTGATTAAATGTCCTTTGACCAGTAGCTGGCCACTTGGAGTGCTTCTGATGCTGCCGCAAGGAGGTCCTCCATCGTGCATGTGGCAGGGCTCAGGTTGCATTGCAGCAGGTGGTCAGTGGTTTGCTCTTCTCCACACTCGCATGTCGTGGATTCCACTTTGTAGCCCCATTTCTTAAGATTGGCTCTGCATCTCGTGGTGCCAGAGCGCAGTCTGTTCAGCGCCTTCCAAGTCGCCCAGTTTTCTGTGTGCCCAGGGGGGAGTCTCTCATTTGGTATCAGCCATTGATTGAGGTTCTAGGTTTGAGCCTGCCAGTTTTGGACTCTCGCTTGCTGAGGTGTTCCACCGAGTGTCTCTGTAGATCTTAGAAAACTATTTCTTGATTTAAGTCGTTGACTTGCTGGCTGATACACAAACAAGGGATGAGCTGGAGATGTCTCCGCCTTGGTCCTTCCACTATTGGCTGCTACTTCCTGGCGAATGTCAGGTGGTGCAATACCGGCTAAACAGTGTAATTTCTCCAGTGGTGTAGGGCGCAGACACTGTGATAATGCTGGTAGGCTGTTAGAAATGGTGGGAGTTGAAGTTGAAAACACCTGGAGAGCCAAAGTTTGCCCATGCCTGTTATAGAGCTTTTACAAAACCCTTGGCCTTCTCTGGCAAAGAGTGTTGATGTTCCAGTAAACAACAACTCCCACAACACAGCCATAATAAATTCTTGTTTTCTTGGCTTTTAGGTCTGTTCCTGGAGTTATAGGGTTCAGAAAATTGGATTGGGTAGACTGCATAAGCTCCGGTTTCTTAGATATGATTTTCCGTGGGTGAACAGATGGCGACTGGTGGGTGATGATAAGAGAAAACTGGTGCCATTTTTTGGAACTAGAAGATCAAATATACGCAGAAACAGGGCTAACATTCAAGGCACCAAAATGTTGGCCAGCGAAGCATTGAGATGTGTCAGTTAAAAGTGGTGCCAGAGTGCATTAATTCTACTGTGTAGACCAACCATTTTTTTGACCAAGGACCACATTGACCAGGGACAACTTTCCAATATTAGTACCAAAAGGGTTAGGAATTGGTTGTTGGTCAACTTTACGTTTGGTTTGGTTATTTGGGGTGCTGAAAATTGCATTGGATAGAGCACATCAGCTCTAGCTTCTGATACAGAAAGTTTGCCATCCAGTAATCGCCATCTGCTCAAGCACAGAAAACAATATTTCATAAGTTGGTGTGGTAGTACTAATCTTTCATGGGTAGTCAGCCTCTCCCCTCCTGACAGCCTTGTTGCCTCGGCATGATAAGAGGGTTTTGAGAGACCAGTCGCTCTCGTTTGCCGCATGTTTTCGAAGCAGTGGTAGTCATGGTGATGCCACAGACCATATTTTCGTTCCTGGGGACCACTGGTGGTCCACGGACCACAGGTTGGGAACCGCTGATATAGTGGGCCCAAGTATCCTAAATGTGCCAGATCCTGTCTGATCTTGGAAGCTTAACAGCCCTGGTTAGCACTTTGAACAGAGATTTCCAATGAATACCAAGTTCTGTAGGCTATATTTCAGAGAAAGGATCACTTATAACCTGTGAGTATTGCCTGAGGAAACTCCATGAAATTCATATATTTGCCATTGTTAGGGACTTACACACTTAAGAGAAGCTGATAACTAAAATATTGTTATTATTTTACTGACACAAAAACATAGTATGTTACAGCAAACGAGATCTATATGCTGGATTTCATATCACAAAATCACAAGTCGAACACTTCCCAAGCATCTAGGACTGTGTGATGTATTTTCAAATGATTTGTGGAGATCCAAGCAAGGTGGCCTTTTGGAGTTGACAGATCATGATTTTGCCAATGTTTATTGTTTCCAAATGCTGGCTGAGATCTTTTGGCATGGCACGCAGTGCACCAATGACCACTGGGACCACCTGTACTGGTTTATGCCAGAGCCTTTGCAGTTCGATTTTGAGATCCTGATAACGGCTGAGTTTTTCCTGTTGTTTTTCCTCAATGCGACTGTCACCTGGTATGGCGACATCAATAATCCAATTTTTTTCTTTTCCACAATCGTGATGTCTGGTGTATTGTGTTCGAAAACTTTGTCAGTCTGGATTTGAAACTCCCACAGTATTTCTGTATGTTCATTTTCTACAACCTTTGCTGGTAGGTTGTACTTGTGACGTAAATTCCAGTGAATTATTTGGGCCACAGAGTTGTGCCTTTGTTTGTAGTCCGTCTGTGTGATTTTCTTGCAACAGCTGAGGCTATGTTGTTGCAATTATTGTTATTATTATTGCTAATACCAATCAGTTCATGTTTATGTTTATGTTTTTTGCTGTTGTGGTTCCTTAGCAATTGAACAGATTAGAAGAAAAAAAAGTTGGTACACTCTCTAGTCAAAATAAGAAGTGATATGATCTGATTTAACCCCATTTTCAGGATTCTTTCTTTCTTTCTTTCCGAGCTAAACCCATTTTCAGGATGTCTTTCTTTCTTTCTTTCTTTCTTTCTTTCTTTCTTTCTTTCTTTCTTTCTTTCTTTCTTGGGAAGGTGAACGTCCAACGAGTTAGGACCATCCCTCTAGACAAGAACTGTTGTTTTATTTGCTCTGAGATTTTATTTTTCACTTTTAGCGAGCCTTGTGTTTCCTGTTTGAATGTATCTCCAAGAAAAAGGCCTGATCTTGCACGAAGAACCCTTCCTTTCAACCTGAAAGATTTTTTTATATCTTGCAGTGCATTGGGGTTCTCACTGGGATCAGAAACATTGCAAGGGTTCTTATTTTAGCTGGACACAGTCAGTGTCATGATCTCCAAGATGGAAGTACAGTCACAAGGAAACAATCAAAGTCACAAAGGAATCCAGAACCACCTTTGAGACTATCAAAACCGCCTGAAAAAGCCATTTCAAGTATAGCTTTTGTGGATACAGTCCGTTTTTGTCAGATACATTTGATGAAGTAGGCAGTGTTCACAGTAAGAGATATTAGAAATGTCTTCTTTTCCATTAGTCTCAAATACGCTATTGGATTCTTTTGTATCTTTTAATCCTAAAGCAGATTAACGTAGCTATCTTTTTGAAGAGAAAAGAATGGCTACCCTAAGGCCATCTAAGTGAGTTGGTGGCTCCATGGAGATTGTCGAGCGAAAAAAAATCTATAAGGCTCATGAATGTATGGGGCAGGGGGAGAGATGTACAGTATTGAATACTCTTAGTAATTTAATCCTTGTATTATAGTGGAAGGACTTTGTTCGCTCACATTGGGCATTTTATGAAAGTTTTTCAAAACTCATTTCTCAGGCTCACTTTTCTTTTTATGTTCTCTGAGTGCTTTTTTTCCCAGCACCAATTTAAGACATCCCTCTTTTTAAAAAATCAATTTATTTGATTCCAATCACTTCCCTGTGCATGTGATATGATTTGAAGTGGAGTTTTTCTGGCTTAGAAAACTAAGTACCTGAATCAAGTTTTTAAAATCTGGAAGGTGATTACCAAAGGAGATATAAAGCATCTCCCTCTAAGAAGTATTTGCTTAAAACAGTAAAGCTCTTAACATTAACCAGGACATGACAAGGGAATATATACAATACTTAGCGTATCTGTGGTTGTATGTCTATGCCAATGGTTCCCAATATGAGGTCCGTGAACCACAAGTGTCCTCAAGAACTAAAACATGGTTTGCGGCTTCACCGTTACTACACTGTTGCAATGAGGGCGGCTGGCCTCACAAAACCCTCTTATAGTGCCGAGGCTTATTAAATATAGTTTTCTGTGGGTGAGCAGATGATGACTACTGAATGGCGTATGTTCTGTATCAGAAACTAGAGCTGATGTGGTCTATCCAATGCAGTTTTCAACACCCCCAAATAACCAAACTGAATCTAAAGTTGACCATAAACTGATTCATAACCCTTTTAGCACTAATGTTGGAGAGTGGTTCCTGGTCAAAACAAAAGGTTGGGAACCACTGTTCTATACAGTTGGCCCTCCATATTTGTGAATTTCATTATTAGTGAATTTGAATAATACATTTTCAATAGGAATTCTAGGCCCTCCAGCATGTGTCAATGGACCTAGAGCAGTGTTTCTCAACCTTCCTAATGCCGCGACCCCTTAACACAGTTCCTCATGTTGTGGTGAACCCCAACCATAAAATTATTTTCATTGCTACTACATGACTAATTTTCCTATTATGAATCGTTATGTAAATATCTGATATGCAGGATGTATTTTCATTCACTGGACGGAATTTAGCACAAATACCCGATATGCCCAAATTTGAATATTGGTGGAGTTGTGGGGAGTGGGGGGTGGGATTTAATTTTGTCATTTGGGATTTATGGTTGCTGGCATTTATAGTTCACCTACAGTCAGGGAGCATTCTGAACACCAATAATGGAATTGAACCAAACTTGGCACAGAGAACTCCCATGACCAACAGAAAACACTGGAAGGGTTTGGTGGGCATTGACCTTGAGTTTTGGAATTGTAATTCACCTACATCCAGATATCACTGTGGACTCTAACAATGCTATATCTGGACCAATACTCAATATGCCCAAATGTGAAAACTGGTGGAGTTGGGGGAAAATAGACCTTGACATTTGGGAGTTACAGTTGATCGGATTTATAGTTCACCTATAATTAAAGAGCATTCTGAATTGTACCAGTGATAGAATTGGGCCAAACTTCCCACACAGAACCCACATATCTTGAAGGGACTCATTGGTGTGAGCCTCCCTCTAGCCTTGCATGCTTTCCCTTGCCTGCATCACGCTGCCGTGCCACGTCTGCTCTCCCCTCCACACTTGGAGTGTCAGGAACAGCCCTACCCTTGGCTGAGAGGCCGGCTGAGAGGCCGTCCAATCACAGCAGAGGAGGGCTTTTGGTGGGCGGATTCACTGTCTGTTTCCAAAAAGGAAGAGAAGGACAAGCAGAGAGATCTTCAGCCTTTTCTGCCAAAGGGGTTCCTAAGACCAGAGGCAAGTCCTCTGAACCCCCCCCCCCCCCAGTGGTCCTGACCCCAAGGTTGAGAAACACTGGTCTATACAGCTGGCCCTCTACATTTGTGGATTTCATTATTAGTGGATTTGAATTTTCTCAATTTCTCTAGAAATATCTAGGCCCTTCAGCATGTGTCCATGGACCTAAAGTTTCCTGGAGGGTACACTTCTCTAGGTACTTCAGCAATGATTTTATGGTCAGCCTTTGACAAACGGAGAGATTTTTAAAGAGATTTTTCCCCCAGAGGGAAAAAAAAATAACCGGTGCTTTTTTATTCATGGTATTCCTACTTTATTCATGGTATTCCTACAGCGCTCCATGCAGTCATGCTGGCCACATGATTTTGGAGGTGTCTACGGACAATGCTGGCTCTTCGGCTTAGAAATGGAGATGAGCACCACACCCCAGAGTCAGACATGACTGGACTTAATGTCAGGGGACTACCTTTACCTTACCTTTATTCCTACTACTACAGGGGTCGTGCACCCCATCATTGTAAAAGTGGATGGTTTGCTGTATTTACTTGATTTATATTCCTTGTCTTTAGATTGTTACTATGTATTATTATATTTATTCATACCCTGCTTTCCTTTCTCAAACAAGACGCAAAGCAGCTATAACCTAGCTATAACTTGTTGAAAAACAGATTTGGGTAAAAGTGTAAAAAATGTTATTTTAAACATATTTTAAAATATGGTTAAATTAAAAACAAATTGAAAGTAAATATTAGACAACAACAACAACAATATAAATTTTTATTTATACCCTGCCACCATGTCGTGGAGGAACTTGGGGCAGCTCACCAGGCTTGTCAAAAAAATCCCGTCTTCAGTTGTGTACAGAAGGCTTGGAGAGTGGAGGCTAGCCTAATCTCCCTTGGGAGGGCATTCCAAAGAGGGGGGGGGACCACTGAGAAGGCCCTCTTTCTCATCCCCACCAACCACACTTGAGATGGAACGAGAGGAGGGTCTCCRCGGTAGATCTTAGCACCTGTGCCAGTTCATAGAAAGATATGCGGTTTCGAAGATAGGCTGTATACGAAGTGTATAGGGCTTTAAAAGTAATATATTCTTCTTTTTTTCTTACTTTAGATGTATGATGTCTTTCCATTCTGGACGAGGGTGTCCTCGAGGCCGAGGGGGAACAGCAATGAGAGCATCAATCCAAACCTTCCGTCCCCAAAACTTAAGGCAGCTTCATCCTCAACAGTCACCGGTACAGTATCAGTATGACCAGCAAAATGCGACCCCTTCTACCTATGTGAGTCCTCCATCTACAACCTATGTACCTCCTAGGCCGGATTTTGTCCCGTATCCACCTCCTATCCCTCCGTCACCACAGAATACCATCGCCCAGTGCCCTCTGAGGCCACCTTTTGGAGGTCATCAAGTGAGGCAAACTTTTCCTCTCCCGCCTTGCTTCCCCCCAGTTCCACCCCCAGTCCCAAATCCTGGTAACCCTCCCTCGCTTGGGGTAGCAAATGTGGCGGGGCAGAACACATTTCCTTATATGATGCCACCTCCTTCCTTACCACATCCTGTGCCACCACCAATAATGCCTCAACCGGTTAATTATCAGCCTATCTACTCTCCAGCCTACTCCCAGCAGACGTTTCCCCCTCCGAATTTCAGTAGCTTCCAGCACAACACAAGCTCTTACCAGAGCAATAGTGCAAATGCGAACAACCCTGGAAACAGCAACAATAATTTCCGGCATCCAAGTCAGTATTCGGTGGAAAAGTCACAGCCTGAAAGGAGGTCTCCAGAGAGGACTAAGCACTATGATGAACATCGCCACCGGGACTATAGTCACAGTCATGGAGAACGACACCGCTCAGCTAGTCATGGCGATCGACGGGATCGAGGGAGGAGCCCAGACAGACGGCGCCAAGAGAGCAGTCGGCACAGGTCGGATTACATGAGAGGACGGACACCACCTCGCCATAGGAGTTATGAATTGTACAGGTAAAATTGGTTTAATTCTCCTGCCACAGCATCCTGCTTTTTTGCCAGACTGAGGTCCCTTCCAGACAGGCCCTACATCTCGGTATCTGATCCCAGATTTCCTGTTTATCCCAGATTATCTGGCAGTGCAGATCCATATAATCCAGTTTTAAGCAGAAAACATTTTTGGAAGGGCCCTAAGTACTCCTTGCCAAATAAAACAGTTTTCACTTCAGAGGTTCCTGAAATGCAGCTCGCACCTGCCTTACCCATCATTGCCAACAAGAAGGAATATTAGGAGTTGTAGTACAACAATATCTGAAGAGTCACACATTCTGCCTGTGCTCCAGATGAGCTCAGAGTGACTCTAGGGGGCAGAATTAGCCTGTATTACTATCACAAAACCTCTTTGGAATAGATTAGAACAGGGGTTCTTAAACTTTTTCCGCTTGCGACCCCTTTCCATCCAAGAAATGTTTATGTGAACCCGGGTATATACATATATGAAATAGGTATGAAAATCAATCATTTACTGAAAATCAACATTTGTAGGGCTTGCTAAACAGGCTTGATTTCCCCTTACAGCTGAAGTATTTTCTGCAGAGTCTACTGTAAACACTGCACATTGTTACTGAAATGAGTGATGTTCAAAAACCTTTTACTATTGCCAAATTTTCTGTGACCTCAACAAAAGGGCACCCATTTGGAGTCGGGACTCAGAGTTTAAGAAGCAGTGTGTTAGAGAAGTTAACTTGGCCTTAATTTGTTTGGTAACTTGACTTATGGATTGCATGTTATGGCCATATCTTTCTTGAACTCAGGAAAAGTCAAGCAGTCACTTAGCTCTGAGTTAATGTGGCATACCTGGACCTGATTGGATGTCTCGTAGCATAAGAAAAGCAATGATAGTTCAGAACAAAACTGAGATAGAAAAGCTGTCTTTCTCTATGTCTGCTTATGTCAGGGGTCCTCAAACTTTTTAAACAGAGGGTCAGGTCACAGTTCCTCAAACTGTTGGAGGGCCGGATTATAATTTGAAAATAAATATATGAATGAATGAATTCCTATGCATCTTATTTGTAGTGCAAATAGCACTTAAAAACAATACAATAATTAAAATGAAGAACAATTTTAACAAATATAAACTTCTTAGTTTTTCAATGGGAAGTGTGGGCCTACTTTTGGCTGATGAGATAGGATTGTTGTTGTCGTTGTGCGCTTTCAAGTCATTTCAGACTTAGGTTGACCCTGAGCGAGGGTAAATGACCTTGAAGGGCCGCATCTGGCCCTTGGGTCTTAGTTTGAGGACCCCTAGCTTATGTTTTTATTGCTATTATGTCTTTGTAATTTGTAATTGTTTTTATTGTATGTGTGGCAGTTTGGAGTGCTGTCTTAGCCTCCCCAAGTTTCTTTGGGGAGATGGTGGCAAGATGAGTGCACAGCAGACAAGATCACTTTGCTGGCTGTTGTATTGGTTCACACGTTGGACACTTCCCAAGTGTCTAGGACTGTGTGATGTATCGGTGAATAATGTGTGCAGATCCCAGTAAGGTGGCCTTCTGCAGCTGGCAGATGGTAATTTTGTCAGCACCAATGTGTTTAAGTGCAGGCCAAGGTCTTTAGGCGCTTTAGTGTGCCAGTCACCACTGGGACCACCTTGACTGGCTTGTGCCAGAGTCATTATCATCATCATCATCATCATCATCATCATCATCATCATCATTCCTATGTATTTCTTTTGAAATCCCCAGTCTGCTTCGGACACTTGCTCTTGCATTGCAGCAGCAACCGACAACACTTACCCTCTAGAGCAGGGGTCTTCAAACTTTTTAAACCAAGGGCCAGGTCACAGTCTCTCAAACTGTTGGAGGGCCAGATTATAATTTGAAAAAAAAATGAATATATTCCTGTGAACACTGCACATATATTATTTGTAGTGCAAAAAACACTCTAAAACAATACAATAATTAAAATGAAGAACAATTTTAACAAATATACACTTATTAGTCTTTCAGTGGGAAGTGCCTTTGGTTGATGAGATAGGATTGTTATGGTTGTGTGCTTTCAAGTCGTTTCAGACTTAGGTTGACCCTGAGCGAGGGCTGGGTAAATGACCTTGGAGGGCCATATCCGGCCCTCGGGCCTTAGTTTGAAGACCGCTGCTCTAGAGTCAAGCTCTCCTTGTTTCATCTCAGTTTTACTGTTTGCAGCATGTCTTGAAAATGTGTGCCATCCTGGGATCCACCATAACCTTGATATTTTATTAAATAGCACCAAGAACTAATGGAAAATGTTAAACATACATAAAAGGCTCTGTGTTGGGCTTTCAGTGTTTGAACACAAAGGGCAGGACTTGAAGACATGTATCTGGGGAACCATGAGCTGCTACCAGACCAAAACATACCAGGAAGAGCTCTGAGACTGCTGCTGATGAAGAAGCTGTATGAAGGCATAAAGAAATAAAACATAGTGCTGTGAGCTGTTTTCACCACTTAGCTACTATTGATTTTGAGTTCTTCTTGTTCTCTTCCCTCCTTTTCCCATCTTGGAACAAATATCCTTATTTCCAGAAGGATAATCTAACTCAAGAGTGGACAGTGTTTTATTCGGCAAGGATTACTCAGTTCAACCCTAAGCAACATGTCCCTAATCGCACTTTACTAATGATCTAGGATTGCCTGCTCGCTCCATCTCTCTCCAAATACCTATCCTAGTTATATGTCACTTTGTCATGCCCAACATTTTTAAAATTCTAATTATTACATTTGGCCCTACCATAGATCTTTAATGCATCGTGGTGTTATTGTTACGTTTATTGCTTTGTTTATGAGTTTATTTATTGTCTGTATTGTTGTTGTTGCTGTTTTTATTGATGTATTTGGGCTCGGCCTCTTGTAAGCCGCACCGAGTCCTTCGGGAGATGGTAGCGGGGTTTAAATAAAGGATTATTATTATTATTATTATTATTATTATTATTATTATTAGTTCTATCATTGGAAGCAAATCCTATAGTGACTGATTGGTAGTCTCCTTCAGGTACTAAAAAGGACTGACTCTGCATAGTTTCCAAGGTCAGACAGGATCTTATGCTTTTAGGGTATCCCCCATCTTGACAAAATGAATACAATAGGATAGATTTTAATGGAATGATCAGAAATGACTATTATATTGGAGCCTTTATTCCTGATTTTTGCCCCGTTGCCTGTTTTAAAGCAGACTTCTTTTGATCTTAAATGTCCCACCCCCATGACAGAGGAGTTCCCGTGTTTGTTTAAAAAGGCATTTGAAGCAAATGTTATTTTGAAATATTTTTCATATATTTTTGACTACAGAGGGCCATTGGAGGCACAAAAACATCCCTGGGAGTTTCTAGATTGAGGGATAACTATCTAAGTGATATGCAGTATGATTTCTTGCTTCATTGCACAGTATCTGTTGGGATGTCTGATTTTCTGGATTGATAATTGTAATGTCAACAGTGGTGGTGACCCAACAGTAGAATTGAAAATAAAAGATTGCAGTTCCCTCCTTTTTCCTGCGTTAGAGGATAGAAATCATTGTGCCAAGTGGGTTGTGGATCTGCTCTAGTTTATAGTTTGAACTTGAAATAAACTATCCAATGTGATGAACTGATTTTGGGAATATGGTATGTCATCACTGTTTTCAAGATGCCATCTTGGTACACAAATAAAGATACCTGGGTTCATCTTCTAGGTCAGTGGTTCTCAACCTGTGGGTCCCCAAGTGTTTTGGCCTGCAACTCCCAGAAATCCCAGCCAGCTTACCAGCTGTTAGGATTTCTGAGAGTTGAAAGGCCAAAACACCGAGGGACCCACAGGTTCAGAACTACTGTTCTAGGTATATTGACTGGAAAACTGTGGTACCTTTCAGGAGAGAAAGGAGTTAAATAAGGATCAAAGAACCTCCTTGTCTGTGGTAGTCTCATTGTGGTATATGGGGACGAAACACGCCTCAGTTTCCTCCTGTTGCTGGCAATCTATTTCATTCTTTATCTTTCTGTGTTTTGTAGGACCCAGATTTTTCTACACTGAGAAAAGTAACTTAGAACTTTTATCTCTTCCCCACTTAAAGGGACCGACAAAGAGAAAGACATCGTCATCGTGACAGCCGACAGTCGCCATCTACAGAAAGGTCCTATAGAAAAGATCACAAGAGGACAGGAAGGTAAGATAAAATCCTGATTGAAAACTATTGAGTAAGTCATATTTTGTTTTTTATTTACCTGAATCTGTAATGCAATGATTGTTGGATTACATGTCCTAGTACAGTGGTTCTCAACCTGTGGGTCTCCAGGGATTTTGGCCTACAACTCCCAGAAATCCCAGCCAGTTTACCAGCTGTTAGGATTTCTGGGAGTTGAAGGCCAAAACATCTGGGGACCCACAGGTTGAGAACCACTGTTCTGGCACAACAAGTGGTTAAGGATAATGAACATTGTGGTCCAACAATATTTGGCAGTCCACATTGCCTTTTGACTTGTAATGGGACATAGATATAAAAAAGTATTGCAAGATTATCAGAACTTATGTAACTTAGCTTTTCTTTCATTGAATTGCACTCTTAGGAGTGCCATTTAATTGTTTGGACTGTGAATATGATTCCTTAAAGTAAGGTTTCTTACATTTTTCCTCTTGGGACCCATTTTGGTCCAAGATTTTTTGACATGACCCCCAGGTATACATAGGTATACAAAACAGGCATTCAAGGCAGCAAATCAAACATTTACTGTTAACAGACTAGCATTTGCAAGACTTGCTAAACAGGCTGATTTTCCTTTTTATGACATACAGCAGAAGCATCTTCTGCAGAGTCCATTGTAAACACTGCACAAATAAATGTCTAAAATAGCCACTAGGTGATATTCAGGAAAAAAAGTTCAGGACCCCATCATTGAGCTCAGAGGACCCCATTTGGGTTCAGGACCCACAGTTTAAGAAGCAGTGGGTTATAGCATTTTATACTCAAATCTCGTTATATACAAGAGTGTGGTAAAATAGCAAAATCAAGTCTATATAAAATAACAAAATCAAGGTTTTCTATTTGGATTTTTAAAAATATATTTTCAGTTCATATATGGTTGAATCCATAGGTGCAGAATCCAAAAGTTTTTCAGAATGTTAACAACTACTTTTTAAATTGCTTTGTATCCTTTTTAAGGGTATTTTTCCATTGTAAGCTGTACTCTGGTTATTTTACATTGTATGTCACTTTGACTGTTTTTTTTTAATAAAAAGATTGGGTAAGCAATGATGATGATGTCAGGGATGCTTTGAATGTGATTTTCCCGCATCTTGGCAGGGAGTTGGACCGGATGGCCCACGAGGTCTCTTCCAACTCTATGATTCTATGATGATGCCGTGGCTGGAAGATATTGTTCCATTTCGCATTCCAACTACAGTGATGTGGGACAATATGAATGTGTGCTTTCATCCTCTCCATCAACTTATGGCACCCTTACTAATTTGTAAAGTTTTCTCTGGCAAGGAATACTAAGAGATGGATTTGACACCTCTGAAAGATATTCTCTATCAGGAGTGTCCACATTTTTGCCTTCCTTGGACCACACTGAAAGAAGAAGGATTGTTTTGAGGCACACACCACTGTAAAACGGAACCCAACTACAAAGAACAAGAGCTTACAGCACACACCATCATTATGCCTAGTACAAAATACACACTCGATTTTTTTTCGCAGTTCATTTTGCCCAACATTGCAATCGACTCTTCTTATTCTTTATTCTATTAGTTAATTTTAACAGTTTCTTCTGGATGATATGAATTATGAATTATACTCCAGTATTCATAGATGCCACATATACTGATTATTCCATTCTGATTTGTTGTCATCTACAAAGTTTGTATTTGAGAACCGTGCAATCAAGTTATCAAAAAACAAACAAACCCCACAATATTTTAAGTAACCTTATGATTTTGTGTTGGATCGCATTCTAGCTGTCCTGGGCTGCAGGTTTACAGTATCTGAAATTCATCCACATATTGTATAGTCCTCCAAATCCTCAGTGGGCAGTAGTTTAGTCTGGAGGGCAGTCTCTATGTTAGACACTCCTCCAACAGAGAGAAACAGCTGGGGAGCTGCTCACTCTTCAACATCTGCTGCTTGTGGTGGTTTCCATAGCCTGCCTAATGGAAGGGCTAGCTTGTTCAGACTTTATAATTGGAAAGTATATTTCTTTTCAGGTCCTGCAGTTTTAGCACAATCAGACCTTCAACCATGCATTCCCAAGAGCTCATATGTGAAAGTTTTGTGCATCAGTATAAGAGGTGACCCTGGGCTCATTCAGCCTTGTTGTCCTGCAAAAGACAAAGCTGTGTTTCCTTTTGTGTCCATGCAGTCGATCTCCCAGTGAAGACCGAAAGAGACCTCGCTGGGAAGAGGAGAGGGAGCGTTGGTCAGAAAATGCCACCAGGGAGAAGAATTACACCTCTATCAAGGACAAAGACCCAGATGAGGCTTCCATTGAGAAGAATGAGGAGGAAGATGAGGACCTCTTGAAACCAGTGTGGATTCGCTGCACCCACTCGGAAAGCTACTTTTCAAGTGATCCCATGGATCAAATGGTATGTAGTCACTCTGTCAAGCAGTGTCTTTGTTCCTAAGAGAAGCAAACACAAGTTCAAAGAAAGAAGATTCCTGTGGCCTCTGTGGCTGCTGATGCTTACCACAACTGTTGTGCCATATACTCTCTCCTGTGGGTAGATGGTTCTCTCCAGAGCAATGTAGCTTGATGTAAGAAGAGAGAATTGCCCTGAATAAGATTTGATACATGTTTGATTTTGAAGGATCCCTCCCTCCCCGCTCTGTGTTCCATCCCACATTATTCAGGGGATATGGGAAACTTTTCTTTCATGAACATTCTTAAGTTATTCTTGATCTGCTGTTTCTTCTTTTTATGAGTGCATTCAAGGTTATTTCCAAGGGGCAGAAATGCCACATTTTATAGAATGCACAGCTTCACACTGCGGCTAGGGGTCACTGTGCCTGAGTTGTCAGGATGAGTTGATTTAAACCGTTTATATTTAATCAATAAGATAACTGACCCAGTTTAAATCTCTGATTCTAAAATAAAATGCCTAACAAGTCACATACCATATATACTCAAGTATAAGCCGACCCAAACATAAGCCGAGGCAACTTATTTTACCGCAAAAACTAGGAAAACATGTTGACTCGAGTGTAAGCCGAGGATGGGAAATGCAGCAGCTTCCAGTAAATTTCAAAATAAAAATAGATACCAATAATTAGGTTAAATGTTTTTGTATATTTACATAAAAGTGTAATTTAAGATAAGACTGTTCAACTCTGATTAAACCATTATTCTAGCTTTCTTCAATGTAAATGTGCTTATATATCCTTCCAATAATAAGAGAGTAAAAAATAAATGTTATAATAGTAATAATAGAGCAAAACAATAAATGTAATAAAATAATAATAGAGTAAAACAATAGAAATGTAATAACAACAGTAACAATAGAGTAAAATAATAAATGAAATAATAAAAATATCAGAAAGAAGATCGCCCAACATTACAATCCCAGAAGCAGATTTGGCAGGGGAGGGAGGCAAAATGAAGGACGAATTCTGCCTCCCAATGACATTTTCCTTTAGTCCTCAATTCTCTAACATGTCAGAGAGTAAGAAATGATAATACCACGTAACAAAAAATCAAGAAAAAAAAGTCTGTTCCTGGTTGGAAAGTGTTACTTCTTATTTAATGGTGCAGTACTTATTTTGAACATAGTTGTTATACTCCAGAAAACTTGTTTTTGTGGCTTCCACAAACTACATTGAATTGGTTGAGACTCAATGAAAAAGGATAGCAACATGTGCTGCAAGATGTCCCATAAAAACCATTTTTTTTCAATTTAATAAACTTTTTCTTTGTTTTTATGGTAGACCCAATTAGGACATGACATTTATAACCCAGGAACAAAAATTATGTTACAAAGTATAATACGTAGGTTTTACTTACGTTTCTTGCGTTTGAATTTCACTGGATACCTAAATGTTCAGCTGAAATTTATGCAGTGCTAGAAATTTGAGGAGTGAACAAAAATTCTATTTGGTTGTCAAAATTTATTTGTGGCAGGAGAATCCCCTGATTTTACCCATTTTCTAGGGTACATCTGCATGGTAGAATTCATGCTCTTTGACATGACTCTCATGGCTCAATGCTATGGCATCCTGGGATGTGTACTTTGGTGAGGCATCAGCACCCTTTGGCAGGGAAGACTAAAAACCTTGTAAAACTACAAGTTCAAGGATTCCATAGCATGAAATTTGGTTAATTTAGGCCCCTTCCACACAGCTGAATAAAATCCCACGATTTTTGTTTTGAACTTTAATATATGGCAATGTGGATTCAGATAACCCAGTTCAAAGCAGATGTTGTGGGATTTTCTGCCTTGATATTCTGGGTTACATGGCTGTGTGGAAGGGCTCCTAGATCTACCACATCTGTTTAATTACTTAACTTTTTGGCTAGTTACTGTAAATTTGTATTGATGTGTTTGTTTACTGTTTTGATTTGATGTATTGTCGAAGGCTTTCATGGCCAGAATCACTGGGTTGTTATAGGTTCCAGACCTTACAACCTCTGAGGATGCCTTCCATAGATGCAGGCAAAATGTCAGGAAATAATGCTTCTAGAACATGGCCATACAGCCTGAAAAACCTACAGCAACCCTATTTTGATTTGGTATGGTTTGTTTCTGTTGTTTATTACAGTATTGAATGTTTGCCATCTTTTGTTGGAAACCTCCCTGAGTCCCCCCAGGGAGAGAGGGTGGGTTATTTATTTATTTTATTTCGTATCAAAAGCATTGCATAAATTAGTATAAAACTGATAAAAATAGAAGGAGAGCAGGTGGCTAAATACCTTTTGACCAAAAACAGGCAACAGCACTGTCATTGTCTGTAGCTTCCAACAATTCTTCCTCTGTGCATGAGGCAGGGCATAGTGGACAAGCATACAGATGCGGAGTTGTCTGTTCTGCTCCACAGTCACATAAGGTGTGGGATTCTTTTAAGTAGTGCCATTTTGCCAGGTTGTCTTTTGATCTGCCCACTCCACTTCTGAGTCTGTTCAGGGACTTCCAAGTTGCCCATTCTTGGTTTGCCTCTGGAGGAAGACCCTCGTGGGGAGCCATCCAGTTGGGATTTCCTGGTCTAACTGCCCAGAAGTATACCCTTGCTGTTGCTGGGGTGACGCCAAGAGGAGTGGTAGTTCTCTTTTCCTTTACTTGGGAGGAGACTGGTAGCCATGTAGTGGGTGGCTTTCACAGTGTTCAACCTTATTTCTCTTCCCATTGCACATCGGGGAGGGGGGCAATGCCAGCTAGCTTATAGAGTTTATCAACAGGTGTAGGTTTAAGACATCCTGTGATTATTCTGCATGTTTCATTCAATGCTATGTTCACCTGTTTTGCATAAGCAGACTTATGCCAAACAGGGCAGGCATACTTGGCAGTTGAGTAAGAGGGTTGGTTATAAATAATAATAATAATAATAATAATAATAATAATAATAATAATAATAATAATAATAATATCATTGAGCCATGGTAATCATAGTCATGCCAAACTGCATTAATCCTACAGTGTAAGATAGTTGCACTCTAGGCATGTTTGCTCAAAAATAGGACCTACTGAGTTCACTTACTTTCAAAATATATAAGACAATTGTACTATAAAGCCTTTCTCTCTATCATGCCAGTTCCTCTATCTTCCTGACACTGTTTGCATGGGTTTAATCTGGGTCATGTGTGCTTGATGGGTTTGGTCTTAATAAGGACTCGAGCCCCCATTCTGTTTATATTAAGATTGTAAGTGTAGTGTCAGCCATTCTCATTTCTCTCTAGTTGAGGCTAATTTAACTACATCAGAGGGTCAGGAAAGGACTTGGAGATCATCTTTGCCTGCAGAGACAGAGCATCTTCAACAAATGGCTGCTTCACTTCTGTTGGGAGACCTCTGTTGAGCGCGAGTCTATGATCCCTGTGGGGAATTGGTTCCCATTGTCAAACTTCTCTTAGTATCAAGACAGTTCTCTGAAAAGTTCAAACAAAACCTACCTACCTCATTGGACTTAAGCCCTTTTGATCTAACTCTGCCCTCTGAGGCAACAAAGTGTAAGTCTTTATCTACTTCTCTGTGAAGACTTTTCCGAGTGCTATAATGTTTCATATCAGCCGTCTCTTCTTAAAGTGAAACTTTCCCAATTCCTTTAATGTTTCTTCATAAGATTGGTTTTACGTACCAGAGATTTTCCCACCCATTGATTTCCACTGCATGCCAGATGACGTCTCGCTAGTATAAGTTAATGTTTTATGGCACATTACATTCTTCTGCCTCCCCCATGGAAACTCCCAACAACCTGCAACCTTGCATATTAATTATCTTTTTGAGTGATGATGACATTCAGGTGTTCCCCTGCAATTGGGACTTTGTAATGATCAGATAAATGAAAACCTACATTTGCACTGCCTGTCCTGGATACACAAAGATGCAATTTGCTGGTGACCTGTGGCAACCACCCATGTGGGCAACCATTTTTATGACATCCTTTCTACCCTCATTAATAAATGTACAGCTTCATCATTCTTGTTGTTTTATTTTATTAGAATTTTATTAATTTTATATAGATTACAATGAAAGAGTGAGAACAATAAAGTATAAGAAAGTGAGGAAATGAAGAAAAAAAAGAAAAAAGAAGAAGCAAAAGTATGCTAAAATCCCAAATAACCCCTAAAAAAATTAAAATAAAAAAAAATAACTACAAAAATACACAAAACACACAAAAAAAGAGAAAAGAAAAACAAAAAAAATGACTTCCATTCCATCTTCTTGGATCATATCTTTTTATTATTCAAAAATATAAAATAAGTTCTAAACTAAATTGTCTCTCTTGTTTCTTATTTTCCCAATTTGTCCAGATATTCATGGAGATTATCCCAGTTCGTTCTTCTTAGTATCATACCTGTATTTTTCTTCAACAAAAAAGTCAATTCATCCATGTCCTATCTCATCCCGTATTTTCTTCTTTGTGAATTGGACTTGGTATATTTGATCCACCTCTTGTTGTTGAATATAAGAAATGACAGCTTCTCGCATACTTGTCTATTATCTACACAATTATGATTTTTTTTTCATTCTTCACAATACGTTTGCATATTTATTTATTTTTGGCTTTCTGAGGTCAGAGTTGCTGAAGGTAGACATTTTCAGTTGATTACATACTTTCCAAAAATACATTTTAACTGTTATCTTTTCTTTGTCACTCCAAGGGAGATTCCTCAGTGGTCGGAACGAGCCGCCTCAGAGATTTATATGAAAAATTTGAAGAGGAGTTAGGGAAGCGTCAGGCTAAGGCCAAAGCTGCCAGGCCACCGTGGGAGCCACCCAAAACCAAACTGGATGAAGATGTGGGTAAGCACTGCCTTGAGAATGGCTAAACCATCCCAGAAACAAGTACTTAGCACTTTACAGCTAGGATAGGCAACTAGAGGCCAAATCTAGTCCCTGAAGGCTTTCTGTTTCACCAGTGAGAGTTCATGTCACCCTCTTCCACCATTAACAACAACAACAACAACTTTATTTGTATCCCACCCCATCTCTCCAAAAGGACTTGGGGTGGCATTATCCATCACTTTCCCGCCAAACTCATTGGATTATTTAACCCTAGTTCCTGCTGTACAAAAAACAAGATAGGCTTTCCTATGCTAGAAGAGGGAATCTTACATTGTGTTGTTCTTGCTACAGAAGGCAACCCATCCCTCTTCCTCTCTTGCTTCTCTGTACCAGCTCCCAAATTTTTCCATTATTCAAGATTAAGGGTTGACAATTCTACACTCTTTTACCTGGCACCAGCATTACTGTCATGGATGTGAGTGAGGCAGTCCCAGGTCTCATTGCACATGAACAGTTTTACTTTAAATTATAATTGCATGAAATGTGAGCTCTGATTTAGGAGTACTGCCCATTTGCCCCAAGATCTTTTTCCTTCCTTGGTTCAGCTTTATCCTTCTCAGAGGCCAGCACCACTTTAGCAAACTCTGGGAAAGGCCAGACAAAGAAAAATTGCAGAGGATGGGGGCTTTTTTCACCTGGCCTCACTCAGGTCAGAGAAAGGGTTATTTATTTATTTATTATTTACTATATTTATATACCGTTGCTCTCAGCCCGCAGGCGACTCGAGGCGGTTCATAGTCAGTACGAAGACCATAAAATCCAATTTGAAACATTAAAATAATATAAAACCATAGCAAAGTCAATAACAAACATATATCATTACCATCTCCTTGCTGAAAACATTAACCAATTACATCGTCTAATCGGTCCATTTTCCTATGTCAGTTACACTGTGCTTACAAATGCTTTCTCAAAAAGTCAAGTCTTGACTTTTCTCCGGAGGGGGCCTGATCTGATATAGAATTTCACCTGCTCTGACCTGAACACAAATATTTTATCTCTACCTCTGGCTTTCGGATTATTATGTATATTTATTTATTTATTTGACTTCATTTATATCCTGCCCTTCTCACCCAAAAGGGGACTCAGGGCAGCTAACAAAAAAAGGCACAATTTGATGCCATATATATATACATAGAATAAAACAAACATATACATTAAAACCAATTAATTAAAATGTATCAATCTTAAAACAATTATTTAAAACCACGCAATCCAAAGGCATCCTCCAGGAGCCTTTTTTCACAGGAAAAGTGTGACTATTATGCGATGAAACACAGTATTTCTTCCTTGCCATAATTCCCCTGTATACTCATGGCTTTCTCCTACATCCATGTCCTCACTTTCTTTTTGAAGATCAAGAGGCAGGGAGTTGATCTAATTTCACTAGGGAGAGAGTGCCATAGTCGAGGGGCTGCAACTGAGAAGGCTGTGTCTCTTATTCTCACTAGTTGCACATGTGAAAGGGTGGGATCAAGAGCAGGGTCTCCCCAGATGATCTGACTTCCAAGATCATCTGGTTCATAGAGGGAGATACGTTCGGACATTAACATGGAAATGAATTTTAGTAACTTCTGCCTGTAAATGAAGCACTGACTTGTGCACAAAGTCCTTTGTGTAAGTGACACTACTAGTAATTCTGTGTATTCCTGAAGCACTTGTATGGAAGCTACCAGAAATGAAATGAGCAGGGGAAGCAATCTAACTAATGTACCCAGTTTGGCCTATGACAAGATCTTCTGCTAAGCTCTATCTGAGATGCTCTTCTGATGTTTCCTCTCCCTTGAGCCTGAAATAATTTTTCTTTCTAAGTCCAGAGAAGGCATAAAGGTCTAAGCCTTTCTCTGCACAAGAAATATTTATGTTATTTCCATATAATAATTCCCTCCTGCCAAATGAACAAGAGGGTGAAATATGGAATTTCTTTATCTGTGGGGCAGGAGGTTATAGGATCACAAGGATTTCATACGTATTTTATATGATGTGTTTTTAACTGCTGTGTGTTGTGCCCTATCTCGAGCCGTGAACAGAGGCAGGTAAGAAATAAAATTATCAGTAGTATTCATATTATTATTTCAGAATAGAGCCTCCTTGACATCATGTCCTTTGGCAATGTCGTTTTGGGATCCCTACACAGAGTATTTCTTTCTCCTTGCCATTCTGTGATCATGCCCCTGTTTCTATAAAGTAGATTTGAAGGAAGATTTGGGGTTCATTGATAAGGCACTCCCAACTCTCCTCACTCCGGAGAAAAAAGCCACAGGTTTAGGGACTAAGCAGCATAAGGACTACATCAGTTACCAGTGTATTGTTTCTTTATGAGTGAATTCTTGTCCCAATGTATAATTTTGTTGACATCTTGATGGCACAGGGAGTTCCAGTGACTCTGAATGTGACTCGGAGGATGACAGCTGTTCTAGCAGCTCGGACTCAGAGGTTTTTGATGTCATCGCTGAAATTAAGCGCAAGAAGGCACACCCAGATCGCCTCCATGAGGAGCTGTGGTACAATGATCCTGGACAGGTATGAACAGAAAATGCAAGAAAACTCTGGCACCAGGCCAATGCATCTTGTGATCTGCTTAGCCCGAAGCAGTGCTGAAGTTAGCAGCAACTCCCTCAATGCTTTGATTGCAAAAGAGCTCTCCTTGACAATAATTGCCTCCCAATTAGAGTCCTGTGATGCACTCTATGTGGGATTACTCTTGGAAAGTGTTTGGAAGTTATAGTAAGTGCACAATCCATCAGTCAGGCTGTTGCTAACTATATGCATAAATCAACCATCTTGAAAGAGCTGCAGTGGCATCTAGTTTGCTTCTAAGCTCGATTGATGGTGCTGGTTTTGTTGTTGTTATTGCTGGGTGCCTTCAAATTGTTTCCGATGATCCTAAAGTGACCCTAACACAGGATTTTCCTGGTGAGATTTATTTGGCTCTGGTTTTGATGAAAAAACCCCTTCTTCCATGTGAACCTGCCCAAAATTTAGAGATCCTCAAGAGAGACTTGATGTGTGCCCCATCTTGAAACCCTAGGTTAATATTAATGAAGGGGTGTCAGGCTTGGTCCATCCCTTTAGAATTTTGACAGACAGCTAAGTCAGTGCTGTTTGATATGGTCTTTGGTCCACAAAACTTGCTCTGGTTTCAGAACTATTTTAAAGGCTATGGTTTCAGAACTATTTTAAAGGAGCTCTTTTAGGGTGCATCTACACTTTAGAATGAGTGCATTGTAATGAATGAATCACATTGTAATGGAATAATACTAATAGATTATATATAATATTACTAATGTTGTAATATATATAATACAATATATTATAGTGGTATATTATATATATTGTGATATAATATAGTGCCATATTATATAACAATATAATAATATAATATTATATAATATAATAATTGTATATAATAATTGAATATTGTATATTTCATATAATATTACTAATAATAATATTGCAGTATAGTGGTATAGAACAACAGAATACTATATAATACTAATGTGCTATGGTAATAATATTATGTATTATATATTCTATATACACATAATAAATGGATGGTATCCTTGAAGTGACTGGCTTGACTCTGAAGGAGTTGGGTGTAGTGACGCCTGACAGGGAGCTTTGGCGTGGGCTGGTCCATGAGGTCATGAAGAGTCGGAAGTGACTGAATGAATAAACAACAACATACATATAATATTATTAATAATATTATAATCATAGAATCATAGAGTTGGAATAGACCTCATGGGCCATCCAGTCCAACCCCCTGCCAAGAAGCAGGGAAATTGCATTCAAAGCACCCCCGACAGATGACCATCCAGCCTCTGTTTAAAAGCTTCCAAAGAAGTAGGCTCCACCACACTCCGGGGCAGAGAGTTCCACTGCTGTAATGTAATACAATATGATACTAGTAATGCAATATAATAATATATAATAATATAAAATGATAATACTGTTTTATTATTGTATATTTGTATATTTTAAGTTGTAATGTTTTTAATTGTGAGTCTCTTTGAGTCTCCGTATGGAGAGATAAAGTGGGATAAAAATAGATAAATAAATAAGTTTGACACTGCTTTAACTTTTCATAGTTTGCTTCTAAGGAATCATGAGAGCTGTAGTTTTACATGGTCTTTAGTCTCCTTGACCAGAGAGTTCCTCAAACTACAACTCCTAGTATTCCATAGCTTTGAGACATGCAGTTGAAAGTCATGTCAATTTGCATTAATTCTGCAGTATAGATGCACTCTCAGTCTGTTTTAAAGGGCTAAACAATTGCCTTTTAAAGATTAGGGTGAAGGTCACAATTTGCATCTTTCAAAATCCTGTAACCTTATATCCTTTCATAATTCTAGGTTCCGATGTTGATTTCTCTCAGACTGGATGATCCCTTAATTTACAATCACACATTTGGATCTTTTCTTCCTCTTCCCTCTTTTTAGTAATTTTGGATGGCTAAACCATCCAATTATAATTGAATCTATCCATTATTATTCTATAAATACAAAATTTACAATTAAAATCCAACAAAGCAGGTAATTTTAGTTATTTTCCATGATGTAGATTATCAATACATCCTGTTTTATTAAAGTATGCTTTTTATTTTATTATTTTATTTAAAAAATGATTAAGATCGTGAGTTCTGGAAAATTGCTTGCATGCTGCTCATGTGACTGAAACTCAGCTTTCAAAAATATATGTTTACAGTATTGTGGTGGTCAGGAAATTGTATCAAGCAGAAATCATAGCCTGGCTGATGAAAAAGCAGTAATTTCAACAAACTTACCCACACGTTTCTGTTTTTTCCACTCTGAAAGCACATACTAAATTGTCCCACTACAATCATTTCAGCTTGATGGACAGTTTTCAACTCAGCACTGTTTCATCTTAAATACTATATTTTGTTCCACCTTTGCCTGTCCTCAGATCTACGGTAGGGAGATAAAAATGTGCTCAATGAGCAAATGGCTGCCCACCCTGCAGACCAGTGGCTATAATTTTTGTTTTGGTGTGAATCAGCCTTCCCTTTTTGTAGCTAGGAATTATCTTTTCGTAATAGAGTTCTTATGAGACCCAGCACGATGGAGTCGTTTGAACATTGCATTACAGGCACATCTACTCTGTCAATTTACTGCCAAGGGTGGGGGAATAAGCTTGGGTGGCGGTTAAATGATATACAGAGCCAATCTGGGACACTTTCTACACTGCCATAAAAAATCCAGATTATCTGCTTTCAACTGGATTATATGGCAGTGTAGAAGGGGCCTGGATTAGTGCCTGGATTAGTGCTCATGGTTCAAGGGTGCTTAACACACCCTTGAACCATGTGAGCCAAAGTCACTGGTTGCTTTGAATTCTCCCCCAGAATTCATTGCAGACTGTGACTTTGGACCACAACTGTTTACATGGCCATCCTTTGTTCCTTTGACTTAGGCAGCTTAGGAACATGAGTTGTCTCTCACTGTCTTCTCCTGTTCTTGTGATGACCAGTGGGTGTTGGAATTCAACCCCATGCTGTCTATGTCTCAAGTCCTCAATGAGGAACAGTTTAGTTAATTTAGTTACTTAGATGATCCCTTGTTGTCCAAATAGGATTGTCTTCCAAGATCGATGTACTGGCAGTGGGTCTGTAGGTGACTGTGGAGCCCTATTCTTGATCTGCATGTTCTCCCGCAGTGAGGACATTGGTTTCCAGGCGGAAGGCGGTCCCAGTCGGGGTTGGCTTGACATGCCTTCCTCTTGGCACGTTTCTCTCTTTCGCCCTCCATTTGTGCCTCTTCAAATTCTACAGCACTGGTCACAGCTGACCTCCAGCTGGAGCGCCCAAGGGCCAGGGCTTCGCAGTTCTCACTGTCTATGCCAGAGTTTTGAAGGTTGGCTTTGAGCCCATCTTTAAATCTATTTTCCTGTCCACCAACATTCTGTTTTCCATTCTTGAGTTCGGAGTAGAGCAACTGCTTTGGAGACGGTGATCGGGCATATTTTCACTGCTAAACTTGAATATATTTCTCTTTTTTTAAGCAATGAAGTCAAGATTTTTTTTTCATTTTGACAGATGAATGATGGGCCTCTATGCAAATGCAGCGCTAAAGCTAGACGGACAGGAATAAGACATGGGATCTACCCAGGAGAAGAGGTAAATAGGTTTGAAATAATGGCAAATAAAATGTTTACTATGACTTCTTAGAGGAGCCCCAAGTGGCACATTGGGTTAAAACACTGAGCTTGTTGAATGAAAGGTCCATACAGTCATGCCAGCCACACGACCTTGGAGGTGTCTACAGACAACGCCGGCTCTTGGGCTTAGAAATGGAGATGAGCACCAACCCACAGAGTGGGACATGACTGGACTTAATGTCAGGGGAAAACCTTTACCTTTACCTATAACTTCTTAGATTAGGGAAGGAGAACCTTTAGTCCTCCAGATGTTTTGGACAACAATATCAACAGCTCTTTTCCAATGACCATGATAGTAGGGACTGTTGGAAGTTGTAGTCCTAACCTTCAGAAGACCCGTAGCCATTGGTTATATATTATGAGGGTTGAATGAAAAGTAATGCCTCCACCTTCGTAACTCCAACAGATGGCAGTACTGGTATGCAGCAGGTGCTGGCTTGTTCAGTAGACTCTCCTCTACAGTTCTATTTTAGTAGAAAGCCTTAGCATTGAACGGTTGTGTTGTTAAAGTGCAAAGTATGGAACCCTGCACAGAAAGTTGGTCAATGCGACTTAAGAAATGTGCAGTCATTGAATTCTTGACGGCAGAAGGTGTCACCTCAAAGGAGATTCATCAGAGAATGCAAGCTTTTTATGGTGATTGTGTTGATGTGTGTACTGTGCGTCATTGGGCAAGTAAATTTAAAGATGTTGAGGTGCGAACATCTGACTTGTATGACAAAGAGTTGGACATCCTGTGATAGCAACCACCGAGCTTCACAAGCAAAAGGTTGACAGATTAATTCAGGATGATCGTCGTATCACTCAGAGAGAAATTTCAAGCATAATTGGCATTTTACAAGAACGTGTGGGTCACATTATTGCTTTGCTTGGCTATTGGAAGATGGGTATCCAGGAAGAGAGAACTGTGAGATGCTGGTTGCGGAAACAGAGTGTCGACTACTTCTGTGACGGCTTCAGAAAACGGGTTCATCATTGGCAGAAATGTATCCAATTGTCTGATGATTATGTGGAAAAGTGAATAGTGGTAGTGAAAGAGCTCATTCTAAGGATTATTTCTGCATTTGATTTATTAAAATATTACCATCCAAGTAACAGAGGTGGATGCATTACTTTTCATTCAACCCTCATAGAAACATATACTAAAAGTACATAAAATGTCAAAATCTTTATATCATGGAAATCATTGAGGACCAAAATGTTTTCTCAAAGTGGAAAAAGGGATGCCCTTTAAAATTTGGAGCATCTTTCATCTGCACTGCTTTAATAGAAGCAGTTGCAGGCCTGCTCATCTGGGTTTCCCCCCCTCTTTTTTCTTTAAAGCAGCTGATATCAGTGGAAGTTCATTAGGATTCTGCTAGGCCTTTCTTAATCAAAGAGCTGTGTGAAGCAAAGGAGAATAAAATTAGTATTTCTCTGCCCCCTCCCCATAACAGCAGATTGGGTAATTGCCTCAGCATATGCCAGGCAGTGAGTCGAAGACGCTGGGAGCGAGATACGTTTTTGACGTGTCAAGATGAAGAAAATGTTGTTTGATTAAGATAGGGAAATGTTAACTCCATAAGGCATAGAAACTCCTGCAGGAAAAGAAGTTGGATTAATTAGCACAGGATTACTAAAATAACTAGACCAGCTCTTGAACTCTCTGGTGCAGTATTGACAGCAACTAATACTTTTTGCAGGTTTATTTCTTCCACAGACTTTTAGACTACTCGTTTTCCTGATATACCTCTTTCCTTCCAAGCAGATTCTCGGGCTTATAACCATATGGGATGAGAAATTTATGGCTTTCCAGATGTTCTTGGGCATCAGTTAATACCACTTGCAACAAATGATGAAGGGTGCTGATATTTGCAGCCCACCCACATCTAGAGGATTACTCATATATAAGTTGACCTCATGTACAAGTTGAGGCCAAAATTATGCATTTTGGTATGATCCTTAAATAAATTGAGGGTCATTCCATGGAGAAAGTACCATTAAGGCCTTCCCCCTTAATATAGAGAAACATTCAAAAGAAATACGCCTATCCCCCTTTTCAAGTAATGTTTTCCAATCTCCTGCTTCTCTTCATTCAGTGTATAGATATAATATTTTTATTATTTCTCCTTGTTCAGTTGTCCAACTTCCCGATTGTTCCTTTGAGTGGGTTGATATTATTTGCAACTCCCCTTGGGTTTTGGGTTTACTTTAGCAGTAGCCAAAGTGTTCTTCCTATACTCTTTGGTTTTCCTAGATTTTAGGTAAATGTAAAGGTTTTCCCCTGACATTAAATCCAGTTGTGTCCAACTCTGGGGGTTGGTGCTCATTTCTAAGCCGAAGAGACAGCGTTGTCCTTAGACACCTCCAAGGTCATGTGGCCAGCATGACTGCATGGAGCACCGCTACCTTCCCGCTAAAGTGGTACCTGTTGTCCACTCACATTTTCATGACAGCGGGAGCTCAAGCCGCTCCCCGGATTCGAACCTGCCACCTTTCAGTTTGCAAATTCGGCAGCTCAGTGCTTTAACCCACTGATTTTATCTTTATGAAAACAAACAAACCAACTCTTGCCTCTTCCTCAAGTAGACAAAGGTTCTTTCTCCCACCCTGGACATTCCACAGATATATAAACCTCACTTGCCTACTGGAGACCCCGGTGGCGCAGTGGACCCCTGGCAGGACTGTAGACCGACAGGTCAGTGGTTCGAATCTGGGGAGAGTGAGGATGAGCTCCCTCTGTAAGCTCCAGCTCCCCATGCTGGGACATGAGAGAAGCTTCCTACAAGGATGGTAAAACATCAAAACATCCAGTCGTCCCCTGGGCAACGTCCTTGCAGACAGCCAATTCTCTCACACCAGAATCGACTTGCAGTTCTCAAGTTGCTCCTGTCATGAAAAAAAAAACTTGCCTTGTTTCCAACAGATCCCTCAACATCTGGGGATGCCTGTCATAGATGTGGGTAAAACATCAGGGGAGAATATGGCCATTCAGCCCAGAAAACTCACAACAACCCAAATAACTAGATTTCTTCGCATCCAGGAGAACCACAGTTGTACAAACTCATCTCTTTTATTGTGCCAACCCTGTTCCCATGAAACCAGGGCTCTTTTAAGAATCCATAGTTACCTCATTATGATTCTGTTCTAGCTGCCATCTCTCTATCTTATTAAATCCTGTGATTTATACTTTAGGAAGATTATAGAATAGATATGTATTCAGGATAGAGATGTATTCAGGATTCTCATCAAGAGAAATCTACAATCCTAAGATTCTGGCAGTTAAAGTAGAATCATAACACTACAACTGATTGGTCTGAAAGAGGGTCAAACTTGTTTTAAAATTTTCAGGGCTTCTTTTATATTTCCAATGTACAAGTAGCAATGGGTCCTGAAGGCAGAAAGCTGGCCTGTAAACTTGTCCAACTTGTCTTCCTGTGGCCTGGCTAATATTCTGTTTTTGTTTCTTTTGTTCTCCTTGAAGCCTATTAAGCCCTGTCGGCCCATGACCAACAATGCTGGAAAGCTGTTCCACTATCGCATTACGGTGTCACCGCCTACAAACTTCTTAGTAAGTACAGTTTAGAGTAGTGGCAATGTAATAGATATTAGTTCAGTTACACTTTGAATCCCAGTGGTACAGTGTTCCAGTTTCTCTTTCTGTTTTTCTCCAGACTGACCGACCAACTGTAATAGAGTATGATGACCATGAATATATCTTTGAAGGGTTTTCCATGTTGGCACATGCTCCGCTCACCAACGTAAGTAAGCTTTTTGTTGAATCCCAGGACCGTTCACACTCTATAGTCATAGTCATACCATTACAATACCGACTTAACTGCCATGGCTGCATCCTATGGAAACATGAGATATTTAGGGTTCTCATGGGAGAGCTCTAGTACTTCACCACACTACAAAATCCAGGATGCCAAAGTAGGTGGCTTTACTGTGAGGGTTGCCACATTGCTAGTCATGTCACAAGGCATCCTCACACCAGCATGGATTATTTGGATTGGGAAATCTCCCCTTTCAGTAATCATATGGTCTCTGTATCCTTGGATTTCACATCTATGGATTCAACCAACTACATCTCAAAAATTTTTTAAATAACTTTTTAAATAATTTTTTTAGGAATTCCCAAAAGCAAATCTCTATTTTGCCATTTTACATAACGTTTTCCCCTGATTAAGTCCAGTCGTGTCTGACTCTGGGGGTTGATGTTCATGTCCATTTTTAAGCCAAAGAGCCGGTGTTGTCCATAGACAACTCCACGGTCACATAATCGGCATGACTGCACGGAGAGCCGTTCCCTTCCTTCCGGAGTGGTACCTATTGATCTGCTCACATTTGCATGTTTTCGAACTTGGCAGAAGCTGGGGCTAAAAGTGAGAGCTCACGCCGCTCCCTGGATTCGAACCTGCAACCTTTCGATCAGCAAGTTCATCAGCTCAGCATTTTAACCCACTGCGCCACCGGGGGCTCCTCATTTTACAAAAGGCATGCCACATTCTATGCTGCTATATATAATATGGGACTTTGGGGTCCACGAATTTTGATATCTTTGGCAGTCCTGGAATTAAAGTCCAGCAGATACTGAGTGCAATTCTTTGGATGTTTCCTAAGCATTAGTTTCTAAATCTGGTCCTTGAAACATTTCAAACTTCAGCTTCCAGAAGGGCAAGCCAATGTTCAGGAATCCTGGTAGCTTGAAACTAGAGTGTCTAGAAGAACAAAAATTGAAAACCGTTGTTTTGGAATGCATACATTCTACTGAAATGAATTGGACTTACTGCCAACTTAGTATGTTCAGCAATCACAAACTTTCTATTATAAGCTGCATTTTAGAATTCAGCAGTGGTCAATGTCCTGCCAACAGTGTGAATAAATGAATGAGAGCTAATTTTGTTTCTTCATCTTCATTCAAATGAGAGAGAAAAACATAAACCTTGAGTAAATAACTATTCTACCATAGCAAAGAGCATTGCTGTTAGAGCATAGCAACATTACAGTGTATTGCCTCTCCTTCAAACTGTATTCTAAAATCCATATAGTTATACCCCACCGGGTGTGGCCCAAACATGCTGGCTGACCTACGTTACCAGCTGTACATAATAATTAACATAAGGTTTTTCTTTAACACACACTTGATCCTGCTACAACTTACTGTAACAGTTCTGAGTTGCCCTTGCCCAGTTGAAAGCACAGTTTAAATAAGTTCTTACAGGGTGATCAGGGTGAATTATAATAAATACCTGTGGTAATATAAGAGTATGTTTTTGGGAGCACTTGAACACACATGTACGTAGATATGATAACTGGCTTTAATCCAGCCTGTAGCATGTGTGGGGTCTTTTTTCACGCTCCCCTCCAAGCTCTTTGTGGTAAATCAAGCCTCGTTATTAAAAAATGCCTTCTCTTTTGGAGAAAGGCTGTTGACGGGCACTTCCCGCAATTCTGCTGTCAGAAGCATCTTCCCGGTAGAAACTGTCAACTGAATCTTGTTCAAAATTGCCACTGTTTAGCAGATTCAGTACTGTAGCTGCCGTTGTACAATTGCACAGCGCTTAGCATTTCAAAAATTGTCTCATATTTTCCTAAACATGTCTGAAACACTGCACTTTTTTAGCTATCTGGAAGTGCTAGATCCCATTTAATCTTAGAAATGAACTATTGACCGGCTTTATAGCCAAGGAATAGCACATGCTATAGGATATATGCCAGAAAAGAGCAGTGGCAATCCACCTCTGAGTATTCTTTGCTTAAGAAAAACCTGTAAAATCTGGAGGGGGTATATTTCTATAAATCAATCACTCTAACAACTACCATGTTAGACTACACAGAGAAGCCATTGAAATCCACAAGCATGTGGACAATTTCATCAGAGAGGAGGAAAACATGAAAATGAACAGTATCTGGCTACCAGTACTAAAAAAATCAGGACTGTAAATAAAGAGCAACACTAAAAAAAACAGGAGAATTCCAGCCAAGAATCAATCAGGTCCAGCTAACATCTCCCAACAAAGGACCTCCCAGGCAGCAACCAGCTAGGCTTTGAAGCGGCAAGGCCATTCAATGCTAATCAAGCTGGACAGTTGCAACATTCACACTTGCCTCAAGCAGACAAGAGTTCTTTCTCCCATCCTGGACATTCCACAGATATATAAATCTCACTTGCCCAGTTTCCAATTGACCTCCGAACTTCTGAGGATGCCTGCCATAGATGTGGGTGAAACCTCAGGAGAGAATGCTTCTGGAACATGGCTGTGCAGCCCGAAAAACTCACAGCAACCCAGTGATTCCGGCGAAGAAAGCCTTTGACAACACAATCAGTAGATGACTTGAAGAATTTCAGTTTTGCCTGAAATCTCCATTAGATGGCAGCATGTGATCATATTCTACCACTTTTCTTATAATGCAGTTATTCACTGGGCACCATAAGGTTTTTCCATTTGTGTGTATATCTCTTCAATTTGCCTGTTACATCCTGTTTTTCCTGTTTTGAGACAAAAAAAATCATTCTTGGGGTGCTGATTGCATTGCTGTTTAAAACCAACCCTCTGTTCATTTTTTTTCCTCCCTTGTCTGCAGATTCCTCTGTGTAAAGTAATCAGATTTAACATCGATTATACAATTCATTTCATCGAAGAGATGATGCCCGAAGTAAGTTATCGGAGTGATTATTCAAGACATCTGTTTGCTTTGTGAGACACTGAGTTTTTTAAAAAGATTTTGGCTCATGCATATTCTGAGATAGAACATATCCTATGGCTGGGTGAACACTTTTATTAAAGGGGTACAACCAGGGAATATTAATATGAAAGCATAATATACAAAGGGGTTGTGATGCTAGCCTGTCTGTAGTTGCCAAAACATCAGAATTCTATGGCAAACCAATTTGTTATAGCGTGAGCTTTCAGACATTGTATAAAATGCTAAACTATAATGCAGGGGTCCTCAAACTTTTTATACAGAGGGCCAGGTCACAGTTCCTCAAACTATTGGAGGGCCGGATTTTAATTTGAAAAAAAAAAATTGAATGAATTCCTATGCACACTGCACATATCTTATTTGTAGTGCAAAAAAACACTTTAAAACAATACAATAATTAAAATGAAGAACAATTTTAACAGATATAATCTTATTAATATTTCAATGGGAAGTGTAGGTCTGCTTTTGGCTGATGAGATAGGTTCATTGTTGTTATTGTTGTTGTGTGCTTTCAAGTCATTTCAGACTTAGGTTGATCCTGAGCAAGGGCCGGGAAAATGACCTTGGAGTGCCGTATCCAGCCCCCGGGCCTTAGTTTGAGGACCCCTGCTGAAAGAAAGCATAAGCCGAGGCAATCCCATGTCCAGAGTTGTGTGTATGAGCTGTGAAGTGAATCCTGCACTGGAGCATGAATAACCTTTTCTTAGACCTGCATAATGAAATATTTACATTAAGCTTAATATTGTATTCCTGAAATTCTTTCTTTATTAGCATGGTGTAATGATTTGAGTGTTGAACGGGGCCTTTGGGAACTCACTGGCCTTGGGCAGATCACCTTCTCTGAGCTTCTTGTCAAGCCCTCCTCTGAACAAGTCTTGTCAAGAAGACCCCATGAAAAAGTTGCCTAAGGATAGATATAATTCATAAATAACATCAAAGCACAAAACAATACAGTCCTGCTTTTACCTACCTTTCTATCAATTGAACGAGAGGTATAGTTGCAAAGGGGGAAAATGAGGGCATTGCCATCTCTTAAGAAGAATTCTGACTCTATAAATGAAGTTTCTCTTCAATGCCAAATTGTTCACATCTCGATTTAAAATCACAGAGATACAGCTTAGGCACTCAGAGGAAAAGAGTTATCCTTCCAGCAGATGCATAGTGCTTTGTGTAGAAGCACCAGAAACGTGGAAATGAATCATAAAGTTGGAAGAGACCTTGTGGGCCATCCAGTCCAACCCCTTGCCAAGAAGTAAGAAAATGGCATTCAAAGCACCCCCGACAGCCAGCCTCTGTTTAAAAGCCTCCAAAAGAGCCTCCACCACACTCCAGGGCAGAGAGTTCCACTGCAGAATGGTTCTCACAGTCAGGAAGTTCTTCCTAATGTTCAGATGGAATTTCCTTTCCTGTAGTTTGAAGCCATTGTTCCGAGTCCTAGTCTCCAGGGCAGCAGAAAACAAGCTTTCTCCCTCCTCCCTATGACTTCCCTTCACATATGTATACATGGCTATCATGTCTCCTGGCCCCCTAGTGGTACAGCGGGTTAAACCACTGAGCTGCTGAACTTGCTGACCGAAAGGTTGGCAGTTCAAATACAGGGAGCAGGGTGAGCTCCCACTGTTAGGCTTAGCATCTGCCAACCTAGCAGTTTGAAAACATGCAAATATGAGTAGATCAATAGGTACTGCTTTGGCAGGAAAGTAATGGCGCTCCATGCAGTCATGCTGGCCACATGACCTTGGAGTCATGCTGGCCACATGACCTATGGACAACACCGGCTCTTAAGCTTAGAAATGGTGATGATCACCACCCCCCAGAGTCGGACACAACTAGACTTCATGTCAGGGGAAACCTTTACCTTTACTTTTTATCATGTCTCCTCTCAACCTTCTCTTCTTCAGGCTAAACATGCCCAGCTCTTTAAGCTGCTCCTCATAGGGCTTGTTCTTCAGATCCTTGATCATTTTAGTTGCCCTCCTCTGGATACAACATCAAAATGTTCCATCTTTGGCCTAAAGTTCCCAGTCTGACCAGAATTTCTGATAATTGTAATTTGAAAAAGTTAACTTTTCCCAGGTTATAAAAGTACCATATAAAAGCAATAACAAAAGTAAAGGTTTAAGAGAGAGAGATTCATGAAGTTCACATTTTGGGCAAGTGGGCCAGTTATTTTTGGGTATTGAACCGTAGAGTTGGAAGAGACTACAGGGGCTAACAACTCACCACGCAGGAATACATAAAGCTCTCCAAAAAGGTGGCCATCCAATCTGTGTTTATAAACATCAAGGGCAGGAGACTCTACTACACTCCAAGGCAGCATATTCTGTTGTCAAACAGATCTTACCATCAAAGAACTTTCCCACAAATTTAAGTAGAATCTCTTTTTCTGCTGTTTGAATCCATTACTCTGAATCTTAGTCTCTGGAGCAGCACAAAACATTTTCAATATGACATCATTTATATTTCTAAATATGGTTATCATGTCCCCTGTTAACCTTCTTTCCTCCAGACTAAACACACCCAGCTAATCCTCACAGTGCATGGTTTTCAGATCTTTGACCGTTTTGGTCACCTTCCTCTGGACACATTCGAGCTTGTCAATATCCTTCGTGAATTTTGGCACGTTGCACTGAACCCAGTTTTCCCCACCTGCCTCTTTTCTTTGTTTAATATATTTTAGGGTTGTAGGTTTTTCAGGCTTAGTGGCCATGTTCTAGAAGCATTCTCTCCTGATGTTTCTCCTGCATCTGGCAGGCATCCTCAGAGGTTGTGAGGTCTGTTGGAAACTAGGAGAATTGTGAGATCTATTGGAAACCAGGAAACATTCACGCCTACCTCCAACAGACAAGTTCTTTCTCCCACCCTGGACATTCCACAGACATGTAAACCCCATTTTCCTCACAACCTCCGAGGATGCCTGCCATAGATGCAGGCAAAACGTCAGGAGATAATGCTTATGGAATATTGACCATACAGTCTGGAAAAGTTACAACAACCCAGTGATCCCAGCCATGAAAGCCTTTGACAATACATATATATTCAAGATTCAGGACTGCTGCTATTAATATCTGCACTGGAGTGAGGAAAGGGAAACTCTTAAAATCTCAAATTCCCATCATTCCTTGCCTGTTGGCTATTTACGTATGATGGAATTTGCAGTCTGGTAACATCTGGAGAGCCATAAGTTCCACAGTCTGGTTTCCACTGCGCATCAGCAAATTTACCTGTTTATTTCACTTAAATAAAAATATACACCCTGCACTTGCGCTGCCAGCACAGCACTCGGCTATCAAAACCAATCATAAAATCAGCTGAAAAGAAAAGTCTGCAGTCTTATCTCAGTATATTTATTTTATGAATAAACACCGTATATCGCACCCTTCTGGTCCCTACCACTCAGGGAAATGAACAGCAGTTTAATAATAAAAGATGATTAAAAATCCCAAACAGTGACAATGATGTAATAAAAGCAAGCAGATGGATGTCTTTTTGGCATGTGAGGCTGTAATCATCCAGTGCTGCGTTGCTTCATATTTATGATTTTAAGGGAATCTGCCTGTTGCATATGGATGGAAAGCAAAACAGTTTAATTGGAATGGTCTCCTTCCAAGGCATTTCTATTTCCCTCACTCTGGCTTGTTTGTAAGGATCATAATCCCCAATTTGTGATGTACTGATTTGTGACTAGGGAAGTGTCTTTGTTACAGCCCCATTGGTAATTTATCAGCTTTTAGCTACAACAAACTAGGCTAGGAGAATTTATGAGAGAGGCTCTTCTTCCTACATATATCTTCTTTTTAGCTTACTGAAGGAAAGACCTTTGGCACACGATAACTTATGGCCTAGTCCCGAGCTCATAATTTCTAGTCTCTTGTCTAGTTTAGGGCTTTTAATAAATGCCACCTCGCCACCACCAGTTTAATTGGAATAGTTTCCTTCCACCCCGTTTTCTTCCTCTCCTCCAATTTCAGTGGTTCGCAACCTTTCTAATGTCGTTGCCCCTTAATGCAGTCCCTCATGTTGTGGTGACCCCCAACCATAATTTATTATTATTTATTTATTATTTACTACGCTTATATACCGCAATTCTCAGCCTACTGGCGACTCATTGCGGTGTACAACATAGAAAAAAGGTGCAGAATACAACATACAATAAAACAATCCACAGTACATAATTATCAACATCATCAAAACATCAACCTTATAGAATCATAGAATCATAGAATCAAAGAGTTGGAAGAGACCTCATGGGCCATCCAGTCCAACCCCCTGCCAAGAAGCAGGAATATTGCATTCAAATCACCCCTGACAGATGGCCATCCAGCCTCTGCTTAAAAGCCTCCAAAGAAGGAGCCTCCACCACACTCCGGGGCAGAGAGTTCCACTGCTGAACGGCTCTCACAGTCAGGAAGTTCTTCCTCATGTTCAGATGGAATCTCCTCTCTTGTAGTTTGAAGCCATTTTTCCTCGTCCTAGTCTCCAGGGAAGCAGAAAACAAGCTTGCTCCCTCCTCCCTGTGGCTTCCTCTCACATATTTATACATGGCTATAATATCCCCTCTCAGCCTTCTCTTCTTCAGGCTAAACATGCCTAGCTCCTTAAGCCACTCCTCATAGGGCTTGTTCTCCAGACCTTTTATCATTTTAGTTGCTCTCCTCTGGACACATTCCAGCTTGTCAATATCTCTCTTCAATTGTGGTGCCCAGAATTGGACACAATATTCCAGGTGTGGTCTAACCAAGGCAGAATAGAGGGTAGCATGACTTCCCTAGATCTAGACACTATGCTCCTATTGATGCAGGCCAAAATCCCATTGGCTTTTTTTGCTGCCACATCACATTGTTGGCTCATGTTTAACTTGTTGTCCACGAGGACGCCAAGATATTTTTCACACGTACTGCTCTTGAGCCATGTGTCCCCCATTCTGTATTTTTGCATTTCATTTTTTTCTGCCTAAGTGGAGTATCTTGCATTCGTCACTGTTGAACTTCATTTTGTTCATTTTGGCCCATCTCTCTAATCTGTTAAAATCGTTTTGAAATCTGCTCCTGTCACAATACTTGTAGGCCAATGTCAATTTATGTGACCTTCAAGATCTTTTTCACACGTACTGCTCTCGAGCCAGGCATCCCCCATTCTGTATCTTTGCATTTCGTTTTTCCTGCCAAAGTGGAGTATCTTGCATTTGTCACTGTTGAACTTCATTTTGTTAGTTTTGGCCCATCTCTCTAATCTGTCAAGATCGTTTTGAATCCTGCTCCTGTCCTCTGGACTATTGGCTATCCCTCCCAATTTGGTGTCGTCTGCAAACTTGATGATCCTGCCTTCTAACCCTTCATCTAAGTCATTAATAAAGATGTTGAACAGGACCGGGCCCAGGACGGAACCCTGCTGATGGCACTCCGCTCGTCACTTCTTTCCAAGATGAAGAGGAAGCCTTGGGAGAATCACCCTCTGGGTTCATCCATTTAACCAATTACAGATCCACCTCATCGTAGTTTTGCCTTGCCCACATTGGACTAGTTTCCTTGCCAGAAGGTCATGGGGGACCTTGTCGAAGGCCTTACTGAAATCCAGGTACGCTACATCCACGGCATTCCCCGCATCTACCCAGCTTGTAACTCTATCGAAAAAAGAGATCAGATTAGTCTGGCATGACTTGTTTTTGATAAATCCATGTTGACTATTAGCAATGACCGCATTTGTTTCTAAGTGTTTGCAGACCACTTCCTTAACAATCTTTTCCAGAATCTTGCCTGGTATTGACGTGAGGCTGACCGGACGGTAGTTGTTTGGGTCATCCTTTTTTCCCTTCTTGAAGATTGGCCCTCCTCCAATCTGCTTACTACAATACCATTCCGAGTCGTCTCATCGTCCAATTCACAATCCGATGTCATTTCCGTTGTTACATTCCTATGGTCAAGTTACCAGTCATTGCACTTCTATTCAAAAGCCTTCTTAAACAACCAGGTCTTCAGCTTCCTTCCAAAAATAATATTATTTTTGTTGCTACTTTATAACTGTAATTTTGCTACTTTTATGAATTGTAATGTAAATATCTGACATGCGGGATGTAATTTCACTCACTGGACGAAATTTGGCACAAATACCCAATACACCCAAATTTGAATACTGGTGGGGTTGGGACAGGGGTATTGATTTTGACATATGGGAGATGTGGTTACTGGGATTAATAGTTCACCTACAATCAAAGAACATTCTGAACTCCACCAATGATGGAATTGAATCAATCTTGGCACAAAGAACTCCCATTCCCAACAGAAAATACTGGAAGGGTGGACCTTGAGTTTTGTAGTTGTAGTTCACCTACATCCGGAGAGCACTGTGGACTCAAACAATGAAAGATCTGGACCAATACTGAATATGCACAAATGTGAAAACTGGTGGAGTTTGGGGAAATAGATCTTGACATTTGGGAGTTGTAGTTGTTGGATTTATAGTTCACCTACAATCAAAAGACATTCTGAACTCCACCAATGATGGAATTGAACCAAACTTGGCACACAGAACTCCCATGACCAACAGAAAAAACTGGAAGGGTTTGTGTTTTGGAGTTGTAGTTCACTTACATCCAGAGAGCACTGTGAACTCAAACAATAATAGATCTGGACCAATACTCAATATGCCCAAATGTGAACACTGGTAGAGTTTGGGGAAAACAGACCTTGGTATTTGGGAGTTGTGGTTGCCGACATTTATAGTTCACCTATAATCAAAGAGCATTCTGAAAACCACCAGCGATAGAATTGGGCCAAACTTCCCACAGAGAACCCCCACGACCAACAGAAAATACTGTGTCAGAGGGGTCTTTAGCGATCCCTATGACACCCCCTCGTGACCCCCCCCAGGGCTTCCAACCTCCAGGTTGAGAAACGCTGTACTATTTTTTGTGCAGTACTTTTAAAGCAGAATGTGCTTCATTACAATACATTCCTCTCCTATATATTCATACTATTTTCTTTTTGCGTTAATTGGGGACTGTTCATTGGAGCTTGTGGGGGCCTCCCCAATGCAAATAGCAGTTGTGTGATTGTGGCCTTGATTGTAAACACAGCCATGGGGGACAAAAGGATGTTCCCTTCCACCATTTCATTGTCCTCATCTTTTTCTGATCCATCTGCTTATTTATGAAACCAATATCGCACTCGAGCACTCAAAGGAGTGACACCATATGTTTGCTTCTGTAGCGTGGCTAAGTTGCTTGTTTGGCATATTTTATTCTGTTTCTGGTTATCACAGGAAAGTGCACAGAGTTGTGTAGTGTACTGTTGTCCCTTTGTTTATGGGAATGTGGCTCATCTTCACCTCCAGCTTTTCAAATTTTGACAGTGTTGTTGTTGGCGCAGGCATAAAGGACTAGAAATGTGCTCTTTTGTGAAAACAAAAGCAGACACCGTTATTCTCATTTTGCAGAATTCTGTGCAGAATACCAAGTTGTGGTTGTATTACAGCACATTTAAAGCCCATATGTTGCATATTTTGGTTTTCAGATGTAGGCTTACATTGGGGTGGTCAGATGAGGGGCATTCAAGGTATATATCACTTTCAATTTTTGTGGCCCTCTGGGAATCCATAGAATGGGTTGTTGTAGGATTTTCGGGCTGTATGGCCATGTTCTAAAAGCACTCTCTCCTGACATTTCGCCTGCATCTATGGCAGGCATCCTCAGAGGTTGTGAGGCCTGCCATAGATACAGATGAACATGGCCTACCTACAGCAGCCTAGTGATTCCGGCCATGAAAGCCTTCAACAGTACAATCCCTAGAATAATTGCTGCCCCAAATGCCCTCTACTGGGCAAGGGGGCATTTTTTCCATGCACGTTGGGCCATTTTCCACTCTGCCCACCTAAGTGTTTTGAAAAAAAGGCTCCCCTTTAACCCAAAATGACTACGGGGAGAAGTGAAACAAGACAAAATCCCCCCCCCCCCCCCCCCCCCCCCCAATATCACTTAGAGGTCATTGAAGGAGTTTTGTGTGCAAAATTGTATTTTTATAGTAATATAAAGGTCTTTTAGGAAGTGATTCCAGTCCCTTAGCCTTCCACACTTGCCCACCTCTGATTTACTTATTAAGATTTGTGATGTGACACTGGGTACTTTTTCTTTTCCAGAATTTTTGTGTAAGAGGGCTGGAGTTATTCTCTTCCTATTTGTTCAGAGATGTTCTGGAACTGTATGACTGGAACCTGATAGGTAACTATCCTGCTTGAAAGTACCTGTGACCTCTTTAAATGTGATAAATGGAATGTCCGGTTTTTGGGTTTTTTTGTTTTTTTTTTACCACATTTATATACCGCCTTTCTCAGCCAGGGGCAACTCAAGGTGGTTCACAATCGGCAGCAATTCGATACCATAACAAATCTCAAATACAGTTAAAACAATTATAAAAACAATTCAACATTTTAAATGTAATATAAAAGAAACAATAATATCTTTAAAAAACAAGATCCTCGGCGTCTCCTTACTGAAATCATTCTCCAATTGCATTGTTGGTCATTCCATATTTCCGTTTCCGTCTAATTATACTCCAGTAGTAAAAGCTTGCTCGAAGAGCCAGGACTTAGCCATTTTGCAGAATGTTAGAAGGGAGGAAGCCAATCTTATATCCCTGGGGAGGGTGTTCCATAGCCGAGGGGCCACCACTGAGAAGGCCCTGTCTCTTGTCCCCGCCAAATGCATCTGGAAGGAAGGCGGGATCAAGAGCAGGGCCTCCCCAGACAATCTTAAAGTCCTAGATGGTTCATAACAAGATATACATTTGGATAGGAAAGCTGGACCAGAACCGTTTAGGGCTTTATAGGCTAAAGTCAGCACTTTGAATTGTGCTCGGTAGCAGACTGGCAGCCAGTGGATCTGGCGCAACAGAGGAGTTGTATGCTCCCTGAGTGCTGCTCCCATTAGCAATCTGGCTGCCGTTCGTTGGACCATTTGGAGCTTCCGGACAGTCTTGAAAGGCAACCCCACTTAGAGAGCGTTGCAGTAGTCTATACAGAGCGTGATGGTTCAAAGACTGTATTAAAAACCTGTTGCTCTCGTTGTTAACAACTGTATTAATTACTTAACTGTAGTTTGCAAATACTATTTGGGAAAACAGAAATTAATCTTGTGCTCATTCTTCCCCGTTCCCTGCTTTGCGTAGGCAGAGTCAGTTTCTTTCTGACTCTGGGATATTACACTGTGGTAGCACATAAATATGCAAAACCCTGCCGCACCCACCTTGGCCATTTTCTACAAGGACTTTAAAACTTGGATGTTCCATTGTGCCTTTGATTAGGCAGTTTACCAGATAAAGGACTCTGACTCTATTTAAACTTCTGCACTTTAGTTCAGCCCTCCTCCCAGTAACCGGCCAAAGGTATTCCCTCTAACCTGGCCCATTTGAATTTTTGCACTTTTCTCGGCTCTACTTAGGAATCATTGCACTTAGTTGAGCCCAGACCCAGCTTCGATTTTGTTTTCAGCTATGATACTGTTTTTATGATGTGATTGTGTTATGTTTTTATTTAATAGATTTTAATGTGGCCTGTCCCCTTGTAAGACGCCCTGAGTACCCTTGGGGAGATGGTGGTGGGGTATAAAAATAAAGTTATTATTATTATTATTTATTCCCTTGTGTCCTACCCTGCCCCCCCCCCCCCCCCCCCCCCCCGGGTTCCCCAGTCCCATTTTTAAGCTGGAAAGAAAAAGAATTGCCTTTCCTTGAAGTTGCATCAAAACAGGTACTCCTTAGAAGCAAAGTAAAGCTCCTTTGCCATACTTTGTTTTCTGAAACCAAACATAGAATTCTGTCTTTTAAGTTGTGAATTTTATTCTGCATTTCATCTGTGGATGTAAACTTGTATTTTAATCTGTGTATCTTGTATGTCTTTTAATAGTGTTTTATCTTTTTTTTAAATGATGTTGTATCCCACCCTGAGCCACAGGGAGAGACAGATAATACATTTATTATTATTACTACTATTAATGTTTTGTTGTTTTGGCTGAGCAACTTCTGTAAGGCCACAGAAGCCAAAAATTGTACCTAGACCCCACATGTCAAACAAAAAGCTTGTGTGCCAAATCTGGCCTATCATGATTTTTTTGTGGTTCACAAGGCTTTCTATGCCAGTAAAATACACTTACATTTATCCAGCCTTGCAATTACAAACGGCCCTTTGAAGGCAAGCGTAAGGCTGATGTGGCCCTCACTGACAATGAGTTTTGTATCTCTGATATTGGCCAACAAAATTTTCCTCCTCCTTATACTAAAATGTAGCTTCTACCACTTGTGGCAATCCTGTTTTCCTCCTTCTTCAGTGGGTTAAACCCTTGTGCCAGCAGGACCACTGACTGAAAGGTTGGCGGGTCTAATCCGGGAAGCGGGGTGAGCTCCTGTCTGTCAGTTTCAGCTTCCCTTGCGGGGACATAGGAGAATTCTCCCAGAGGATGGTAACACATCCAAGCATCCTCTGGGCAACATCCTTGCAGACGACCAGTTCTCTTACACCAAAAGCGACTTGCACTTTCTCAAGTTCCTGACATAAAAAAAAAAATCAAACTGGAAACAGTTGTTACTGTTGCTATTAGTAATTCCATTGTTAAGCAGTGACTTCCATTTCTCCAGAATGTTTAAAAGAGCTGCCCATCATGCTAAATCTTTAAAGATCTCAGTAAAACACAGAGGAGATTCATCATCTTGTGGATCTGGAAGCCACTAACTAATACAATACCATCATCAATAAGAATAATTATGCCATCCATCATATCTCCTTTGTATGGGCCATACTTCTATCATATAGTGGTTTTTGTGTGAGGTATGTGGCCAAAATATGTTCCCAGTCTGTTTGAGGAAACCCAAAGTTTACAGGTACAGGGGGAAAAAACTATTTAGGGAAAGGTCCAGGCAAAATAAACAAACACTGTCATTATGCTCAATGTCTGTTGATTGTGAAGCCTCAACACTGATGCAGGTGGAATGGGGTATCTGAAAAAAAGTCATAACTGGCTGCATAGTTAACTCTAAATAGGAGCAGTCTGAACTGTAGAAGGTTTTTTGCAAATAGCTCTTTTTCCTCACAATTTTTGTTTGAAAACCCCCAGAGATTTTAATTAATTTAAGGCAACGGAGCACATAAGGCATGCAGAATGAGTTATTAGCATAGTGCAGGATGAAAATGTTAGCACTGTGGATCTTACAGACTGAAAGGGCATGCGGTGGCGGAGCTAGAATGTGATAAACGGTACAAGTGTCACATAACCAGACACAGGTGGCAAGCTGTCATTTGGGCTGGAAATTGTACTTGGATTGCAACACAGTCAAAATGTAAGAAGCCAACATTGGCTTTTGTTCAAACTAAACCATAAGAATAAACGTGTGAGACTGTGGAGTGGTAAAGTTTAGACTTTTTGTGGAGTCTTGTTTTCCTCAGAAGGCTTTATTTTCAGCAAATGCAATGAGGAAAGTCTGGAAAATGTTATTTTTTTCCATGTTGGGAGTGACTTGAGAAACCGCAAGTCGCTTCTGGTGTGAGAGAATTGATCGTCTGCAAGGACATTTCCCAGGGGATGTCCAGACGTTTTGATGTTTTACCATGCTTGTGGGAAGCTTCTCTCATGTCCCCTCATGGGGAGCTGAAGGTGACAGAGGGAGCTCATTCCGCTCTCCCCAGATTCGAACCTCTGACTTGTCAGTCTTCAGTCCTGCCAGCACAAGCAAACAAGGGTTTCCAAGAGCCACTGTGGGTTCCTGGAAAGTGTGATGGTTATATTTGGTTTGTTTCTGTTCATTTTGTCAGCAAATATCTATTCCCTAGTTTCAAGTTACAATGCGTGATTCTGGGTTCTTCTCATTTTGTTGCCTTCTTCAACACAACGTCAAAGGCAATTCATATTTTGAAAGGAGCATGTTGTCAGAGGAAGGAATTGGCAAAACCACTGCTGTTTATTCCTTGCTTTTTTAAAAATTCATTTGAAATTCATGGAGTCATAAGTCAATAGGTGATTTGAAAACACATACAGATGTTTATTTATTTTCATTATCGGCTATGGTGACATCCGGTCTTTCCTCTAGCTCAAAGTGGAATACATGGTTCTCCTCTTCCCCACTTTATCCTTACAGCAATTTTCCGAAATTGGTTGAGAGAGATCAGTTGGGCCAAGATCAACTAGAGGGGAGGAGATGACAAATTCAGCCTCAAAGTCTGTTATTTTAACTTGGTCTATTTAATATGCTTTTTTTCCACCTAAAAATATTTTTGTTGTTCTCTTAATTATAAGTCACCTTTACATCTCATAAGAGAATAGAAGTATAATCAGTCCCTGAGTTATGAAGATCCAACTTACGAACAACTCATAGATACGAATGGGGCAGAGGCAGCAAATTGGAGATTTGTGGAGATAGGTGTTCCTCCCCAGCCAAGGTGAAGGAGGCTGGTGAAGGAAGGAAGTTGGCAACAGGCTCCTTTACCCCTCATCTTCAGCTACGGATGATGAGTCTTGACTTCTGGCTAGCCTCCCTTGCCCCTCGCTAGTGCCTTGGATGAGGAGGAAGGGAGGGAGCATGTCGGCAAGGTCCTTCCCTTCCTCCTCAGCCAACTGGTTTGAGTTTTATTTTTAAAAATGAACCTGTTTTGACTTACAAACAAATTCATCTTAAGAACAAACCTACAGAACCTATTTTGTTTATAACTTGGGGAATGCCTCTGTTTAATAAGGTCTTTGAATGTCCTTGAAAATGAGACAGCTGTCCAAAGGTCATCTGCCCATAGATGGACTAAATGATCTCTATGCTCTTGAACCAGATCCCAGAATGGCCAGCCTCCTGGTTGATTATTGAAATTGTAGTCCAAGATATTTAAGGTATTTGAGATGCTCCTCAGTGTTATGCAGGGATTTCATATTATTTTGCCAATGCATCAGGGCTTCTTCCCAGTCCTGTTGCCTTCCCAGTCACTCGTTGTGCTTTCATTATGGGATTGTACCAAAATTGCCTAGGAAGGAATCATGTCGGTCTTTGTTTCTATAAGGTAAAGGTAAAGTTTTCCCCTGACATTACGTCTAGTTATGTCTGACTCTGGGGGTTGGTGGCCATCTCAGTTTCTAAGCTGAAGAGCCTGCGTTGCCCGTAGATACTTCCAAGGTTATGTGGTCAGCATGACTGCATGGAGCACCGTTACCTTCCCGCAGAAGCAGTACCTATTGATCTACTTACATTTGCATGTTTCAAACTGCTAGGTTTGCAGAAGCTGGGGTTAACAGCAGGAGCTCACCCCGCTCCTCGTATTCAAACCGCCAACCTTTCGGTCAGCAGCTCAGCGATTTAATCCATTGCGCCACCAGGGGGGCCCTTGTTTCTATAATATATAATTTCTATAATTTATCAGTTTTTAGAAGGGCAACCCAAATTATTCTCTGAGGATAATTCTGCTCCCCCAACTCCTCACAGAGACCATGGAAAGGAGCCTTCAGAAAACCTTTTTTGTCACAGGTTGAACTGTGAGAATTCCCAGTGTTATTCCCACATATTTTCAAGACTGCCTTTAACCATATGGTGGGAAATGCATAATTGTAAGTCAGAGAATGCTGCAAGGGTGAATACTAGAATCTACCAACAGCTAGAGGGCACTTGATTTCTGTTCCTGCCACCAGGGCTAGAAGCTTATTTTACCAAAAACAAGAATGATACTATCAAATCTGTGCTTCTGAACCCCTCTGTGTCTTCTCTCATGTCCATGAATGAGGTCTTAGAATATAGATGGTGCACACCTCTTTAGGTTTCCTACCTTGTCATGCTGAGCAAGAGAATACTAACAATTTTCAAGTGGGTTTGAAGGTATGAGCAAGAAGGGGTGGCATACGAGAAATCGAGGGCAGTGCCAGCGGCCCCAATCTTTTCTCTGTTTTTGGCCCTCCCTTGCATTTGGAATAACACATGAAGAGGGCTTTACAAACTTTTTTGAAAATCCTAATTCTTTTTTATAGGGCTGTTAAAGAGTACACACAGCTCTGTGTCGGTCTTTTCGGTTTACTAGGCTGTCATAGATGTACGCGCTTGTAAAATGCCTTCTCTTTTTTTTTTACAACTTGTTTAAGGTCCCCCATTAGAAGACAATGAAACTTCATGTCCCCGATTTCATTTCATGCCTCGCTTTGTAAGGTTTCTTCCAGGTAAGTCAGAAGTATATGATGACTGTTTTGGGGGCTAGCACTCACTGAGACGGTTAGAAAACTGGAATTCGACTTTACACATCCAGATTTCAGGCTTGAAAAATATGTCCAAGAGTATTGCTAGTTAATATGCTAAATGCAAGACATTATTTTATTTGTATAAAGGGGCATTCAGTCATAATAAACTTTGACTTTCAGCCTGGAGGTGCCCACGTTCAGGTTAATCACTAAGTGAATATTTAGACCCTTGTTTCTACACTCTGCATTCCTTTAAAGAAAGAAGCCTGAAAGCCATAGCTTTCTGAAGAGACAGAGTGAGTTGGAAACTTTGACTTCTTTTTAGCCATGGGTACCAATTTAGACTGAAATCCTTTTGAAATGCACTTTTGGGGGACTTTGAAATTCTAGTTAGATTTTCCAGTCAATAGTAATGATATGTAAATATAAAGTCCATCTTTCCACAATTAAGAGATTGAGCAGTACAAGCTGTTCCCACATTTAATTTGTGCCTTCAAAGAGCATGTACATTAATTAGAGCTGTCTTGCGTTTCCATTCCCCCCCCCCCCCCTATTTTTTAGTTTTCCTGTCAGAGTGTGTTCATGGATAGTCTGAAATTTCACTTGTTGAAAAACGACACTTTTATTACTATTTCTCTCTGGAAGTATAGCTCACATTGGCAGAATTATATTTTTATGCAAAGCTTTTTTTAACAGCAACTCTCAGAACCCACTTTGGCTGTGAGGTCCCAAGAATAGTAGTTGCAAACCATGTTTTAATGTACCACTGGGATTTTTTCGCATGCCAGTTCTTCTTATATCTCTATACTATCTTTTCTTCCTTATACTTCTGTTTTGTTCACTGCGGTGTGTGGCAGAAAGGTGGGTTATAAATATATAAACCAGATCAGATTTTATTTTAATTAATTGTCTGTCTGAACAGCAAAGCAGATAACTCCTGGGCTCATGAGCCTAGAAACAGAGCAAGTGCAGTTTGCTTGGTGAAATGGGAATCACAAATTATTCCACCAGCCTTGGAGGCAGAATTTTACGTTTGCATGAAAACGCTGCCAGCACATTTCTCTTCCCTCTGCAACTGTTAAGTTTTTAAGTGGTTTTGCTTTGGGGTGTTCCTCAGATCTGAGTTGATGCTGATCTCCGTCTGTGCTTTGTGAAATAAATACACACCCTTCAAACCTATGGTGATGTATGATTATTCAAACAGTTGGTAGCCTCCCCATGTGGGAGCCTGTACAGGGGCTTCTAGGTAGTGTTTGGTTGTCGCAATACATGCTTATACTGTTGGGCGAGTGGGCTTATTAACAAAAGAGCCTCCTCATAAATGCATAGCAGAGTAACTTAGCAGCAGCCTGACCCAGCACCAGTTCCCAAAAGTGATAAAAAGAACAAAAACACAGACCAATGTTATCTCTTCCATAGAATTCAAAATGATCTTGACAGATTAGAGACATGGGCCAAAACTAACAAAATGAAGCTCAACAGTGGCAAATGCAAGATACTCCACTTAGAAAAAAATGAATTGCAAAGATACAGAATAGAGAACACGTGGCTCAAGAGCAGTACGTGTGAAAAAGATCTTTGAGTCCTCGTGGACAAGTTAAACATGAGCCAACAATGTGATGCGGCGGCAAAAAAAGCCAATGGGATTTTGGCCTGCATCAATAGGAGTATAGTGCCTAGATCCAGGAAAGTCATGCTACCCCTCTATTCTGCTTTGGTCAGACAACATCTGGAATACTGTGTCCAATTCTGGGCACCACAATTGAAAAATGTTGACAAGCTGGAATGTGTCCAGAGGAGGGCAACTAAAATGATCAAGGGTCTGGAGAACAAGCCCTATGAGGAGCGGCTTAAAGAGCTGGGCATGTTTAGCCTGAAAAGAGAAGGCTGAGAGGAGACATGATAGCCATGTATAAATATGTGAGAGGAAGTCATAGGGATGAGGGAGCAAGCTTGTTTTCTGCTGCCCTGGAGACTAGGACGCAGAGCAATGGCTTCAAACTACAAGAAAGGAGATTCCATCTGAACATTAGGAAGAACTTCCTGACTGTGAGAGCCGTTCAGCAGTGGAACTCTCTGCCCTGGAGTGTGGTGGAGGCTCCTTTTATGGAGGCTTTTAAGCAGAGTCTGGATGGCCATCTGTCAGAGATGCTTTGAATGCAGTTTTCCTGCTTCTTGGCAGGGGGCTGGACTGGATAGCCCACGAGGTCTCTTCCAACTCTATGATTCTATAGGAGGCTTTTGTTTATAACAACATAATATGATTGCACTATTTACAAGAACAAGGTTTCCATGAGACAAATAAAGTTCAACCTTCACACTGGAGCTTCACACAGGAGGCTTTCAACCTGGGGCTTCTCTCACCGAAGCTTCTCACAGACTAAGGCCTATCTCACACTATGAGACCTTCTCACAGACTGATACCTTTTTCCCACTGAGGCAAACTAACACAGAGACCTTCTAAGCTGCAGGCACACCTGCTTATATAGGATTGCAGTTTTCTGAGTCGTTGCATCCATTTAACCCTTTCGCTGCTTGACTCACATTTTTGTAATTTTAATATGTCTGACATTTACTGCTATGATTCTCCTTTAACTACCATGGGACCATCCATGGTTTGGAATTGGACAAGTCATTAGAGGAGTTTCTGGAAGAGAGTTCTCAACAATCATCCCTAAATATGAAATCCCAGAAATCCCAACAAGCAGCAGCCAAATTACTAACTGGTGCAAATTACAGGGAGCAGTCAACCCCCCTGTTTAAGGAGCTCCATTGGCTGCCGTTTATTTTCCGGTCCCAATTCAAGGTGCAGGTTCTTACCTACAAAGCCTGAATGGTTTGGGACCCTGTCTGCATGACCGCATTTCCATCTATGAACCTACACGATCTCTTCGATCTTCCGGAGAGGCCCTTCTCTCACCCCCGCCCCATTGCAAGGGCGACTTGTGGGGATGAGGGAGAGGGCCTTCTCTGTAGTGGCCCCATGGCTCTGAAATTCGCTCCCCAGAGATATTAGGCAAGCCCCTACCCTGGCAGTCTTTAGGAGGAGACTGAAAACTTGGCTGTTCATATGTGCCTTAATCCCTGACCAAACTTGGCATAAAATGTCCTCCGTAGCACTTTACCTGTTAGTACAATTAAACCCTACCTCATCCCCCGGATCACCTATCATGACACATTACATTGCCCTCTCACCCAGTGTTTTAAATTTTAATCTTTGCAATTGGCCATGCCTGCTGTGGTCAATTTTCTTTGATTTAATGCTCTGATTCCATATTGCTGTTCTGTTTATTTATATTGGTTTTGTATCTTATGTTATTTTTATTTTCTTATATTCTTATAAATAAAGTTTTATTATTATCATCATCATCATCATCATCATCATCATTATTAATCTCCCTACAATAAATTGCCTTGAAATTTCTTCATATAGTATGGGGTGTAAAAAAAAAACCCAATATGTGCATTTAGGGGCCACAAATTTGGAGTGTTGTGAATTTAGAACATTAATTTATTATATCTTACTATTTTATTACATACATTATTATTATTATTATTATTATTATTATTAATTATTATTATTATTATTATTGCTTTGCTTGTCCACCAGGTTCTGATGTAAGTGTAGGGAGCTTAAGATACAAATTCCTTTTTCAGGGACTGTATTCCAGTGGTGGAGTGCAATTGAAGACAAGCAGGAAGGGAGAGAGGACCAAAAAATACTCGAATATTTTAATGGAAAACTTTTACTGTCAGTAGTTGAAGTCCTAGGAAAAGTGTTTCAGCATTTTGGAACACATGAGCAAAAAGTACGGAAGCACAGGCATCCAAATGATGGTGTCATGAGGAAGCATTTGGGAAATCCCAGGCAGTTAGATTGGAGTCCCTTCAAAACTTAGTTTTAGAACATGTATTTATTTTTTAAATGCTTTATAACAAAGAGGAACTTTGTATTTGTTTTTTGTTTTTAAGATGGAGGGAAGGAAGTGTTGTCTATGCATCAGATTCTTCTGTATTTGCTACGATGCAATAAACCATTGGTTCCGGAAGAAGAGATTGCCAATATGCTTCAATGGGAGGAGCTGGAGTGGCAGAAATATGCAGAGGAATGCAAAGGAATGATCGTGACCAGCTCCGGAATGGTAATGCAAATGTTCTCTTGAAGCAAAATATCGTGTTGTGTTTTGTAATTCTATAATATAAATTAGTAGTACCCATGTGTTTTCAAATAATGCCTCTGAAGAACAGGTTTGAATTTCAGCATAGTTTAGTAGTTTATCGGTGGATTAGGATTAGCAAGCCAGAGTGTGTATCTTTATTCAGGCCCCTTCCATACAGCTGCATAAAATCCATATTGAACTGGATTATATGGCAGTATGGATTCAGATAACACAGTTCAAAGCAAATATTGTGGATTATCTGCCTTGATATTTTGGGTTATATGACTGTGGAAGAGCCCTCAGACATAGAAAAACAGTGGGTGACATGAGGCCCCTTCTGCATTGTCCTTATATCTCAGAATTTTATCCCAGGCTATCTGTTTTGATTATATGAGTCTCCTTTGCCATACGATCTGGGATAAGCAGATAAACTGGGATTTTCTTGTGTGTCAGGAACGACTTGAGAAACTGTAAGTCACTTTATCTCACACTGTAAGTGTGAGATAATTGGTTGTTTGCAAGGACTCCATCAACGATGGGATTGAACCAAATTTGGCATACTGCACTCCCATGACTAACAGAAAATACTGGAAGGGTTTGGTGGGTATTGACCTTGCGTTTTGGAGTTGTCGTTCACCTACATCCAGAGAGCGCTGTGGACAATGATGGATCTGGACCAAACTAAGGCATGAATGCTCAATATGCCCAAATGTGAACACTGTTGGAGGTTGGGGAAAATAGACCTTGACATTTGGGAGTTATAGTGGCTAAGATTTATAGTTCGCCTACAATTAAAGTCCATTCTGAACCCCACCAACAATAGAATTGGGCCAAACTTCCCACACAGAACCCCCATGCCTTGAAGGGATCGCTGGCTCGAGCCTCCTTCCAGCCTCACACGCTCTCCCTCGCCCGCACATGTGCACCATGCTGCCATGCGCCAAGCACGCCTGCTCTCCTCTCCCTTCTTGGAGTTTCAGAAACAGCCCTCCCCTTGGCTGAGAGGCTGGCTGAGAGGCCAGCCAATCACAGCAGGAGGGGGGCTTTTAGTGGGAGAATTCACCATCCGTTTCCAAAAAGGAAGAGAAGGAAAGGTGGAGAGATCTTCAGCCTTCTCTGCCAAAGGGGTTCCTAAGACCATCAGAAAAAATACGTTTTCTCATATTCTTTAGCAATCCCTCTGAAACCCCCTTCTCGACCCCCCAGGGATCCCAACCCCCAGGTTGAGAAATGCTGATCTAGTCCTTCCTTCAAGGGCAATGCGATTGAGTGGGGAAGATGCTTATGGTGTGCCCAGCCACATTTCTGAACTTGCTTTGAAGACCAATAAATAAATAAATACTATGTTGGTCAAAATGGGATACCATGGCATAACATTTATTTCCTGGCTGCCAAGTCTCTGGCTTCATTAATGAATCACAATAGCAGAATTGCCTGCATTATTTCTCCCTGAAGATCACATCAGTAATCACCGCCATCTCCTCCATTAGATTTGCCTCCTCTAAGTCCTTTCAAAATATCAGCAAAATGTACAAGCAATTCTCTTTGTTTTATTATCTGAACTTGTTCTTAATATCTCATTTTTTATTATCTGGGCTTGTTCTTCGCACAATGAATAATCAAGGCATTCTTTCTTCGAATTTCCATGGATTTTAGCACAGAAAGTTTCACCTTGGGCTTGTTGAACTCCGTGATAAACCACTTACTGTTTATAATGGCTAAAGATCAAGAGAGGATTACGAAGAACTGTTTTATTATGTTTGCAGTTCAGATTATGGCTTGTTTTTTTGTGTGTGAAGTGAAGGAGGGAGGAGAAAGATAGCTACAGGTGCTTTTTCTTTTACTCCTTTATTGAATTTCTTCAACAACAGTAGCATTTATTCCTACCAGGAATAAAAATGACATGAGGAGATTTGTATGAGATTTCTGTTTCTTTGTCCACGCAAAGCTGAATAAGCTGCATTTAAGATAAAGGGCTTCTTGCAGTGCCTAACCTTGTAAAATGTCTTATTAGAATAGATGAGCTTTAATCCAAAACTACTCTGTCCATCCCTCTTTGGGGTGAGGCAGATCTTGTGTTGTGTGACAAAAAAAAAACTGGCAAAATTGAACTGGGTGCGATATTCTGCATTGATTTTCATTTTTCCCATTTGATGTGTATCCTTCCAGCCATAATGAGCTGCTAACAATGCTCAGCCGCTTTAAACATTTACGTGCGTAAAATCAACCATGAAAACATGCTAGTCGATAATTTCCTCTCGTTTGTTAACTTGCTTTTTAACCGATGAGAAATTGTAAGTAGAAAAATTTTAGTCTGGTGTGTGTGGTTATTCTGTCCTTACTTCCCTGTCAATCTATCATAGTGAATAGAAGGAGAAGTTTTTAATGACAGATAGCAAATAAAAGCCAGCCTCAGGAATTTATATTCCTTCTTCCCTTAACAGTATCATGTTTATATTTTTCAAACATTTTCCTGAGTAGCCCAAAAGGCTCCTGAGGTGGTTTATAATCATTAAAAAGGAAGCCCCTGCCCAGAGTTATTGTGTGCCTTCAAGGCACTTCTGGCTTGGGGTGATACTAAGACAAAGATATGATGGGGTTTTCTTGACATGATTTATTCAGACCAGGTTTGCAGTTCCCTTCCCTTGAGGCCAAGAGAGTGTGATGCGCCCAAAACCACCCAGTGAGTTTCCGTGGCTGAATCCTAGGGTGCATCTATACTGTAGAATTAATGTAGTTTGGCACCATTTCAATGGCCATGACTCAATGCTATGTGTGGGGATTTATAAAAAGGCACCATGATGAAATAGGTTGACTGGAAAGGCATGTGTTGGCAGTTGATTGACTGAGTATGCCAAGAGTCAGAATTCTGATTGGCTACTGTTTTTGGTTTGCTGATGAGACAAATGGTTTTAACTGCCACTTTCACCTCGGAGAGTGAAGAGAGCGCTGACTGACATCAGTCGGGAAGGAAATGGCTGCCAACTCTCTGAAGCCTGATTATTTATAAAGCAAATGAGGCATATTTAAAGACTGTTTAAAGGGACTGCTTATTCCCTCTGTTCTCTGTGTGAATTCAGAGAGACAGCTGTATATATTGTTGCCCTGTTTGAACTTTTGAACGGAAGTAAAGATACTTTAACTTCCAAGTGACACTGTATTATACAGCAGGGTATTTTTTTGGTTCAGAAACTGTGGTAAAGCTTCTGTTTATTTACATTTACAACCTCAAACACTATGGAATCAACAGAGTTATAGTTTTACAAGCTCTTTACACTTTTGTGCCAAAAGAATTCTGGCAAAATTACAAATCCCAGGATGCCATAACATTACGTCCTGGCAGTTAAAGCTGTGTCAAATTGTATAAACTCTACTGTGTAAATGCCCCCTAGTCTCCTAGAATTTTAGTCTAAACTGACTCTCTCCACCCCACAGGCTTGTAGTTTTAAAAAGACATGACACAAAATGAAATATAAAATTGATTGGAGTGCAGTGGGTTCACAGTACCTGTACGGTTTGAATCCAGGATGCAGATATGAAAAATGGATGATCAAGTTACTTATTTCGTATCAAAAGCATTGCATAAATAAGTATAAAACTGATACAAATAGAGGGAACACTAGCGTTTAAACAATTTTAGACCAAAAATGGGCAACAGTGACCACATTGCCTGTAGCTTTAAACAATTCTTCCTCTGTACATGAGGCAGGGCATTGTGGACAAGCGTACATATGCAGAGTTGTTTGTTCTGTTCCACAGTCGAACAAGGTGGAAGATTCTTCTAGGTATTGCCAGGTTGTCTTTTGATCTGCCTACTCTGCTTCTGAGTCTGTTCAGAGACTTTCACATGGCCCATTCTCGGTTTGTCCCTGAAGGCAGACCCTCGTGGGGGGCCATCCAGTTGGAATTGCCAGGTTTAGCTGCCCAGGGGGATGCTCTTGCTGTTGCTGGGGGAACATTAAGAGGCGTGGTGGTTCTCATGAAGGTTTTCCTTTATTGAGTCTGCTGGGAGGAGGCTGATAGCCATGCAGTGGATGGCTTTCACAGTGTCCAACCTCATTTCTTAGTTAGCAGTTAGCAGCAACCGCCCTATCTCCTCAAAGGGACTCAGGGCGGTTTCCAAAAAATATGGCAAAGATTCAATGCCGAAAGAAAAGCCATACAAACAATTTACATCAGGAAAAGACACATTAGGCAATTTAGAACAACATAACTATAACTTTATAATCAAAATAGCAAAAAAATAAAAATAAGAAATAAAATAAAAATATAATAAAAACATCATAAAATACAAAAACACCCTGATAAAATACACACATACAAAAAAATAAAACATAAAACTGAATACATCGGAGCTTCATCAGACGAGGTTCATTTTTAGCCAGGAGTGCTAAAAATGAACTTATCCGCTATAAGAAGGGCTAGGTGAGGGATAGTGCACCCATAGGGCTGGGTAAGTGGATGAAGTGCAGAATGGAGTACTATCTGACGACCTAGAGACTGGCCCTAGGGTCTAATCGTTGTCGAAAACTTGCAGGAACATACAGGTTCTCAGTTCCCTATGTAAGGAGGACAGTGTGGGGACTTGGCTAATCTCCCTGGGGAGGGTGTTCCAAAGTCAGGGGGCCACCACTGAGAAGCCCCTGTCCCTCATCCCCACCAACCAAACTTGTGACAGTGGTGGAAGCAAGAGGAGGCTTTCCCTGGCAGATCTTAGAGCCTGCATTGGTTCATAGGAGGAGATGTGGTCACGAAGATAGGCAAGGCTGATGTTCTTATTAATGTTGGGTCTGCCAGTAAGTTTCACTAGGATGTTATTGTGTTCAGCTACTTTGTGCTTGGTGTTCATACAGTGTTTCCTAAATGTTAGTGTTTGATCTAAGGTGACTCTGTGATATTTAGGATGGAAACAGTGTTCCAACTCTTGACCTTCCCAGGTAACTTTCAATTTCCCGTTGACTTCATGGTTACATAGGTGGAAAGCACATACTTGTGTCTTGACAGGGTTAGGTTTCAGGTGGTTCTCTTTGAAGTAGCTGGAGAGATCTTTCAAGGCATTAGTAAGTTGGTTTTAAATTGCTTCAAAGTCTTTTGCTTGCATTATTAGACCAAGGTCATCAGCATATATAAAGTTCTTTGTGAGTGGTGGCTGTGGCTGATCGTTAGTAAAGATGTTGATCAAGGTCGGTGCAAGAACTCTGCCTTGGGATAGACCATTATTTTCCCTCCTCCATCTACTTTCCCTGCCTTGAAACTCCACATAGAAGTTGCGGTTTTCTAGGTGGGTCTGGATAGCTTTTTGTAAAATCATAGTCTGGAGTAATATGGTAGACTTTATGCAGCATTTTTCTATGTTGCACTGTGTCATAGGCTGCCGTAAGGTCCACAAAAACTATTCCCATAATAAACCTTTCTCATATCCTTCCTTGATATACTCAATCAGATTTAGAATTTGGTTGTACATTTTTTCCCTAATCTGAAACCTGCTTATTGTGCAATAAGCTGGGCTTCAATAATAGCCCCATAATCAAGTTCCATGTTGTTAAATGGTGTTGATGTGGGTATCAGTGTCTTACAGATTTACGGGGGCTGCTGATCACTCTGCCTCTTTCCCTCTCATGTGCAGAGCCACCCACAATAGCAAATTTGCTGGCTTTTGGAAGACTTTCTGATGTATATATGTGTGTGTGTGTATTATTCTCTTTTATCTGGTGGGTTGAATTTGTGAATGCGGAGCCTGCAGACACAGTAGACCCACTCTATCTAGTCTCTGAGAGGGTCTATTTACCACTTCATCTCTGCCTTCTGCAGCCTTTCTCTCAGTAATGAGTCTTAAAGTGACTTACAGCATATTTGGAAAACAAGACAGATGAAAACAGATTTATTTGCCACAGGAAGGGGATTGATTTTAGACTTTCCTCTCCTCCGTTCCACAGTAGCTCTTCCCACATGAAGATGCTACCTTTTTTCGGGAAGTTGGACATGCCTGTAACTCTATAACTGACAACAGAGTTGTTCTTAATTGAATTTAACTCTTTGATCTTTTCCCTTCTCTCACTCTAGAAGCCCAGCTCGGTTCGTATTGATCAGTTGGATCGTGAGCAGTTCAACCCTGATGTGATTACTTTCCCCATTATTGTCCACTTCGGGATAAGACCTGCACAGCTCAGTTACGCTGGAGACCCGCAGTAAGCTATTATTGTCAAACCTGCGATTAAAAGCCTCAGCTCAAGCCAGCTTTCCTGTTGATGCTCTGCTGTACAAATGTCTGTCTCTGCTGAAATGATTATGAACACACACTTTTGTTTTAATGCTCTGAATCACAGAATGAAAGAAATTGCAAATAACTCCATTTTAGGTATACTGCAACTTGCCTGAAGTACAATATATGGTTTGTTCAGATCTTTACATTTGATTGACAAATTACACAATTCATGTGATTTTTTTTCAGTCAGTGGTTGCTTTATACTGAATAGTGATAATAGGTTTTTAATACTTTTTCTTCTTTTGTCTTAATGAAGACATTTGAAGTTTTCTTTTTCTTCACTTTTTGTAGATTTTAAAACATGGACGTCTGTTCTACTTTTTAAATGCTATGATTGGAATACATACAATATTGAAACTGCTGTTCTTAAACTTATGCTGACACACAAACACACACACGTGTTTCTCTTCTATGTTAGTTCAGTTCTCTTCAATGTTAGCTACATGAAAGTAGTTTGTTTTCTTCTTGAGATAAAATACATGACTAGCATCCAGGATCCTCTTCAAGTTTTAGAATGTTTTAGAAGTCACATTTCTAAAACATTTAGACCAACCTGTGGTCCATGAACCACCAGTGGTCTGCAATAATTAAAATATAGTCCATGACCTCATCCTTACTATACCGTTGCAACGAGAGCGATTGGTCTCGCAAAACCCTCTTATAGTGCCGAGATTTATTAAATACGGTTTTCTGTGGGAGAGCAGATGGCGTCTACTGGATGGCATATGTTCTGTATCAGAAACCAGAGCTGATGTGGTCTATCCAATGCAGTTTTCTGAATCAGCACCCCAGTTGAAATCCGAACCAGTTGAAACCCGAACCATCCGAGAGCTACTTGCTTTTCAGAAAGCCTGTAAAAACTTTCTTTTCCGACTAGCTTTCGATGGGTGAATAACTCGGGACTATGTCTGTTCTCGTTTTTATTGTATTTTAAAGTTGTTTGTATTGTTTTAATCTACTGCTGTAAACCGCTCGGAGCCAAATTGGGAGTGGCGGTATACAAGTCAAATAAATAAATAAGTAAAATAGATAACCAAACCAAATCTAAAGTTGAACAAAAACTGATTCACAACTCTTTTGATACTAATGTTGGCGTGTGGTCCCTGGTCAAAGTGGTCCCTGGTCAATAAAAGTTTGGGAACTACTGATTCAGACCCAAGGAATAAAATAAGCAAGTCACATTTATTAGAAGATGGGGAAACTATTTCTCAGTGGTGATACGTCATGCTGCTGTGGGAGGCATTAAAGTGGATTTCCACTTATCATCTTCCCAGGTAGTCCAGAAATTCTTCCTGTGATTAGGAATGGAAATGTGTTAGTTTTGCTTTCTCTCACCTTGGAGTTTCAAGGTCTATCTATCCCAGACAAGAAGAAATGCCTACCTTAGGATCATTTTTTCCAAAACCCCAAATTGCTCTGCTTTTTGCGGTCACCAAATTCAACATACAATTATTTCCAACATGAAGAACTGTGGATATATCCTCTTACTGTATAAGTCAGAGCTTTCCAAACATTTCATGTTGCTGACACACCTTTAGCAATAGCGTAATTCAGTTTTACCAGCAACCCGGAGGTTAAACCATCTTATAACAAATATGACACATAGATTGATTATAATAATGAATTGTATGGGGACACAACCTTTCTCTCATTCATATATGTGTGTGTGTGTGATTTGTAAGATAATAGCATACATTTCCAAGATTTTGCCTTTTATGAGTAACAATATGTAAATATTTGCAAGATTTTTTTAAAAGTATAACACCAGTAAAATAACTACTTACCATTTTAATGAGATGTATGAGATTGATGAGATGAACACAGCTTTTGCATATTTGATTTTATATTATTAGATAAAGCCACTCACATTTTGTCATCAAGCATTTTTAAGCATCCATGTTTCAGCAATATTGCTTATTTCACATAGATTCAGGCCCTTTCTACTTCCATATAAAATCCGGATTAATTGCTTTGAACAGGATTATATGGCAGTGTAGACTCATGTAATTCAGTTCAAAGCGGATAATGTGGATTATCCTCTTTGATAATCTGAATTACATGGCAGTGTAGAAAGGGCGTCTGATGTTTCTCTTTTATAGTTGCACAACATAACCTACATAATGCATCCTTTTATTGTGACATGCAGTTTGGAAAGCTCTAGTAGAAATGTTAAGGAAGAGAAAAGGAGGTGATAATGTACTTCATTAATGTAGTGGAATTCAAACGTTATATATTCTACCTCAGATACCATTTCTTTTTTAATGTAAGAACCCACATGTGAGTCTGGTTCTGGGAGACTTCTGGGCTTTGACCTAGGCTGGATCTGTAATGTCCTATATTCCAAGATCTGATTCCAGGTTATCTACTTTGAACTAGATTATGTGAGTTTACACTGCCAGAGAACCTGGGATCATCAGACAATCTGAGATCAGATCCTGTGATATAGGCCAGTGTAGATCCAGCCCCAGGCATCCATATGTTCCGATTCTTCTTACAACTAGTGAGGTGGATCTGTAGGGTAGACCTTCAGATGGTTTTGGACTCTAGCTCCCTTCATCCTTGATCATGGACCATGCTGGCTGGGACTGATGGGAAATGTAATGCAATAATTCATAGATGGGCACAGATTCCTCACCCCAGATATACCTGACATTGGGGGGAAATTTCTCTGCTCTGTTTTAAGGCTAGGTTTTATATGGAATTGCTGTGTAATTAATATTCTCAGTGAAACGGATCAAACACCGTGATGTCATTTTTGAATCAATTCTCCTCCTCTCACCATCTCCCATTTTCCGTTCTTTGTCAGGTACCAGAAACTCTGGAAGAGTTATGTGAAGCTGCGTCACCTGTTGGCTAACAGCCCCAAAGTGAAGCAGGCAGATAAGCAGAAACTGGTACAAAGAGAGGTACGTTGTTGTTTAGCCCAAGCTCATTCATGAGTTTGAATCTAATGCTTTTTTTAAATGTTGCTACCTTAGTTTCAAAGCCAATCAATTTGAATATCGAACTTTTAAAAGAAGAGGATGGTGAAACAAAAAGTTCTTTAGAAATATGGAAATGTTTAAATGTTTTATTTATTACCAGGATTGTGCGGATTGTAATGCTTTCATTTCATCTGCATACTCAATTTTAACAACAGGATGATTTCAGATTCACAAAATTCTGTTTTGATGAGAATTTAAGCTGTCATGGGGAATTACTTTTTGGACTACAGCTCCCATTATCCTTGACAAATAACTTTTGCAGACTCTGGTTTTGATTCCAAAGATCCCAGGTCTAGCTTTGATGCAAAATATTTATGGAAGGTAGACTGTAACTAAGGCCCCCCTGGTGGCTCAGCAGGTTAAACCACTGAGCTGCTGAACTTGCTGACCATAAGGTTGGCGGTTCAAATCCAGGAAGTTAAGTGAGCTCCCACTGTTGGCCCCAGTTTATGCCAACCTAGCAGTTCAAAAACATGCAAATGTGAATAGATCCGTAGGTACCGCTTCTGTGGGAAGGTAATGGCACTCCATACAGTCATGCTGGCTACATGACCTTGGAGGTGTCTATGGACAACGTCGACTCTTTGGCTTAGAAATGGAGATGAGCACCACACCCCAGAGTCTGGCACAACTAGACTTAATGACAGGGGAAATTTTTACATTTACTACACTATGTCTAATTGATGGACCAATGGCCAATTTCCAGTGGATTATTAAGTATTTGTTAGTTTTTAGGATTCTTGAAAACAGTCCTGGGCTAACTTAATGCTTTGAGTCTCTTTGTGGAGAGAACAAGTGGAATAGATAGATAGATAGATAGATAGATAGATAGATAGATAGATAGATAGATAGACACACATACACATACATATACATATATATAGAGATATATATATGTGTGTATATATATATATATACACACACACACATACATACACTACATAATAACAACAACAACAGTGCATTTGCTTTTCTTGGTGAAATCCAGGGCTGTTTGAACCTCCCATTCATATGATAGGTTTTTCTCCTTCCTCACATTCTCTAGTTAAAAACATACACACAACCTTCTATTTTTGGAAGCCAATATGTGAGCTGGAGAAGATAACTGGAGCCCTTCAATGTGTTTCAACCTGATAAGGATTGTGATCCTGCTCAAGAGCTCTATGTTTCTTCACTTCCAGTTTGTCTAGTTTGTTATATATAGTCAGCAACTGTTTGGCTCAGAAGTAGGGCTTCACTTGGACACTAACAATCATTTTTTGTATAGTTTGATAAAAGTGTTGTATTAGTGGGTATCAAATACCCCCTTATGCAATGCCAGGAAAAACTGCCGCTGCGTTTGTGTAATCCCCAGTTATGTTCGCATAAAATTGCAAGGTGATGCCCACTCTTATTTCTGCTATCTTTGACATTGTAAGCTGAGAATGTTTGCTCAGAATTAAGTATCTGGAAGTGTAAATGGGACACATTTCTTAGTAAGAATTTGTCAAGTCTGGACTCTAAATCCAAAAAAATCATTTTGGCTTTCCCCCCCTGTGATGCAGCACTAAAACTCCCATGCTATCATTTTGAAGAAGGATGTGTTATTTCCCCCTGTTAGAACAGACTATCTTTAACTTTAGTGAAGTCTTGCATTGCTGCGCTGGAGAACAAATGAAGATGATAACATTTTTATTAAAAAAAGAAAAAAGATCTCTGAGGAATAATGAATGAGTTATTGTTGAAAGTGTAGCAGATAGGGTTTACGAGTGATTACATTTTGTGGCAAAAGGAGAAAGAGCTGCTTTGACATTTATCACTTACTACAACGTAGATCTCTGTTTCCAGATTTTATCACTTGGGCTGATTGCTTTTCCCGTGAATGTTTCTCTGGTTCAAATGTCAGCTCTAGTGTGAAGTAGTTTCTCAGGTCCTCATCTGCAACATGCTGATAATGCTGAGTTACCTTAGAAGGTGGACTACCGGCCGCAAAAAGCGTATGCCGTATAAAATGTATTAATCTTTAACCTTTCTTATTACTCACTCTTTTCCCCTGGATAAATATGGGCTATTTTCATTAATCCAGTCCCCGTTCACAAGGACTTCTAGCAGCCATATTGGAACTGGGCATTTTAGCATGTCTTGTTTAGGGGTGCTAGAAATACAGTTTTCCCTCCACATTTGGGGTTTGATTTTTGCAGATTTCATTACTCACTGATAATAATAATAATAATAATAATAATAATAATAATAATAATAATAGAAAAGTCGACGACATATCCTAAGTGTAGCTCTTCAAGTAAGCAGATGAAACAATAGATCACATCCTCAGCTTCTGCAAGAAGATCACATAGACAGGCTACAAGCAGAGGCATAACACCTTTGCTCAGATTCATTGGAACTTGTGCCACAAATGCCATCTGCCTACAACAAAGAACTGGTGGGATCACAAGCCTGAAAAAGTTACAGAAAATGAACATGTCAAACTACTCTGGGACTTCTGAATTCAGACACAGAGTTTTGGAGCACAATACTCCTGACCTCACAATTGTGTTAAAAAACAAAGTATGGATCATTGATGTTGCAATCCCAGGTGACAGCAGGATTGAAGAGAAAGGACTGGAAAAGCTGACACAATATGAGGATTTAAGGATCGAACTGCAAAGACTCTGGGACAAGCCAGTAAAGGTGGTCCCAGTGGTGATCGGCACACTGGGTGCAGTGCCTAAAGACCTTGGCCTGCACTGAAACACAATCGGTGCTGACAAAATTACCATCTGCCAGCTGCAAAAGGCCACCTTACTGGGATCTGCATGCATTATTTGCTGATACATTACACAGTCCTAGACACTTGGGAAGTTTTCCGACGTGTGATCCAATACAACAGCAAGGAGAGTGATCTTGTCTGCTGTGGACTCATCTTGTTGTGTTTCAAATAATAATAATAATAATAATAATAATAATAATAATAATAATAATAATAATAATTGTAGCCATGGAAGCCCATTGAGTGACTTTGGACAGAATATACTCTTTCAACCTTAGATGAAGGCTTAACTCTTCAGTGTAAATTTAGCCAAGAAAACTTTGTTATCTTAATCTTAAGGTCGCCATTGGTCTGAAATGACTTGAAAGCACACAACCGCAACAACAACTGGAAGATCACCTATTCCTTATCCATCCTCTATACTCTTGAGGGAAGATTTACATTTCTCAGCGAAGTGTCATTTTTTTTTCTCTTTAAAGGAAGCATTGCAGAAGATCAGGCAAAAAAACACCATGCGACGTGAAGTGACGGTTGAGCTGAGCAGCCAAGGATTCTGGAAAACAGGCATTCGCTCAGATGTCTGTCAGGTGAGTTGAGTCTCTTTCTGTATGGCTAGTTGGTGGAGAAAACCTATTTTGACCATGTCTTTAGAACCTGAAAGTCTTCACCATACCTTAACAGGCAACATGAAAGCATATACACACATAGACACTAATGCTTTGGGGCAGAGCTTCTAACTTCTCAATTTTAGTGCACGTTTTGGGATTTGGAAAAGTTAAGAGGCCCTGATGATAGTCCTTCTTTGGATAATACTTGGAAGTAAGCCAAATGAATGGGGATAATTGGGGGTGTGCAAGGAAAGACAGATAATCTCGTTCTTATCTCTCTTTTTATTGGGCTTTGTAGGCTTTGCAGGTCCAGAAACATTCACAGTGATCTATTTCCGCAGATACCTGGGGGGGGGGGGGGGGGGGGGGGGGGGTTGGGGTTGGGAAGGACGGCCATTTGAAAAAGCATGCTGAAAAAGATGTCCACATTTGTAAATGTGCACAAACATTGATTAGACACATTTAAGTTAGGACTGGGGAGGATACATTCAAATGATGCATGCAGTTTGAAAATGTGCATACATTTGTAAAAAAAACAACAAAAAACCCAAAGCAACAAAAGAAATCAATGAGGACATACTAGCTTGGGCTCCCAGTGTTGCCCAGATTATTTGAAAAAGTTATTATTATTATTTTTTTTACAAAAATGCATAAGGTAGTGAGTGAACTACAGCTCACATCAAGCCAGGTTAACTCCCTGAAACTCCATCAGAAGTTAAAGTTTGTCATGTTGGAAAAGTTTGCTCTAGATGCGTCATTGGTAGGGTCCAATGTGATCTCTGGCTGCAGGATAAACTATAGCTCCACTATGGTGGGCCAGTCCCCTCAAATCCCTCCAGTAAGGTTCTGTTGGTTATAGGGGTTCTGTGTGCCAAGTTTGGTTCAGATCCGACATCGGTGGTGGTCACAGTGTCTCTGGATAAAAGTGAACTACAACTTCCAGAAATGAAGTCAGATCCCCTCAGACCCCTCTAGGATTTACAGTTGGTCATGTTGATTCTGTGTGCCAAGTTAGGTCCAGGGCCATCATCGGTAAGATGCAGAGTGCTCTTCAATTGCAAGCAAACTATAAATAGGTCCAGGGCCATCATTAGGTGGAGGGTCCAGAGTGCTCTTTGTTTGCAGGTGAATTATAAATCCCAGTACCTACAATATCTATAAATCAAGATGAATTCCCCCCAAAGCCCTCCTGTATTTTTCTGTGGTCATGGAGGTTCTGTGTGGCGTGTTAGGTCCAGTGCCATCATTGATGCGGTCCAGGGTGCTCTTTGATTGCAGGTGAATTATAAATCCCAGTACCTACAACAGCTATAAATCGAGGTGAATTATCCCCCAAACCTCTCCAGTATTTTTCTGTCGTCATGTGGATTTTGTGTGCCATGTTAGGTCCAGCACCATCGTTAGGTGGGGGGTCCAGAGTGCTCTTTGATTGCAGGTGAATTATAAATCCCAGTACCTACAACATCTATAAATCAAGGTGAATTCCCCCCAAATCTCTCCAGTATTTTTCTTTGGTCACAGGGGTTGTGTGTGCCAAATGTGGTCCAGGTCCATTGTCAGTGGAAGTCACAATGCTCTGATTTGATGCAGGGTGAACTACAACTTCCATCATGTGGAGTCAATTCCCTAAACTCCTCCAGTATGTTTAGTAGTTGATTAGTTCTGCTCTTTTTGTTGTGCAGAGTAGGAAAGGGGTTAAGGGAGAGGCAGTGGGCAGGATCATGCAAATTCCACATCGATGGAGAGAGTCAGAAACACTGGAATGTCTGTGGTGGAGGAAACACATAAAATCTAGGATGAAATTGTCCTCAAATGAAAGCATTCCTTGGGTGGTGGGGAGTATGGTGTTTGTGGAGAACATTGGCAGGGGTTGGGCTACATCAGGGGTCCTCAAACATTTTAAAAAGAGGACCAGGTCACAATCCCTCATACTGTTGGAGGGCCGGATTATAATTTGAAAAAAAAAATGAATGAATTCCTATGCACACTGCATATATCTTATTTATAGTGCAAAAAACACTTATATTCAATAATTAAAATGAAGAACACTTTTAACAAATATAAACTTATTAGTATTTCAATGGGAAGTGTGGGCCTGCTTTTGGCTGATGAGATAGGATTGTTGTTGTTGTGTGCTTTCAAGTCGTTTCAGACTTAGGTTGACCCTGAGCAAGGGCTGGGTAAATTACCTTGGAGGGCCGTATCCGGCTCCCAGGCCTTAGTTTGAGGACCCCTGGGCTACATGTTCATGGCGCCCGCTATAACCTGAAATGTCATTGAAGGGAGGGCTTTAAACTGTGGTTTAAAGCTGTTTGTGAAAGCAGGGGCCTCTCTGGGGAAGTAGACACTCCAACCACGTACACACATATTTTTTATTACGTATACAGAAGATATCTAGATAAGATATAGATATATAAGGGATGGGGGGCTACATAATGGATGAGGAAAGTTGTTTTCATAGCGCGTTCAAAGCATTGACGGCCGCTCAGCAATAGTAAGGAAAAAGCTTGGTTGGACAATGGAACAAGAGGGATTATTAGTGCACCTCATTTTGTCCGCCTTGTTAATTTTTGATTCTTTAGTTGTTTTGAGACTGAGACAGATCAGTGGGAATTCATATAGATGCATTTCTAACCCCCTCCCTAGACGTTTCCCTCATAGCTTTTGTGTTTCTAGAATAAGTGTACTAATGGAGAATCCAAGTCAAACAGCATATTTCTGGCTTTTAACTCTTGGAAACGGAATTGTGCAGAGCCTCAAAAGCCTTTGTGGTTTGCCTAGTTAGATGGTGTTGGGCTTTTGTTTTTTCTCCCATCTTTTTCTGCGTGGAAAGGCGGCAAAGCGCCAAAGAGCAAGGGCTATGCTATATTGCAGAATCAATTGTCTTTGAGATATATAGCTATATCTCCCCAAGGAGAGGTCAAAAGGAAGAGTCTCTCTCGTGTTCTCTGACTCTCTTTCTGTTTTTTTAATGAAAGCTTGCTACTGGTGTTTTTCCGTTTTGCTTTCTGCTAGGTTAAAGAGTGGTAAAATTGAATGAGTCTTTATCAAGGCTGTGGGCAAGTTTAATGCAGAGTGGTTTGAAATGACTGCTTTGCTATTTTCTTTCCATTCCCGGTTGAACAGATTGCTTCTCTATCATAATAGCTTCAGTTTAACGATTTTAAATCAACCACTGGCAATATATTGTCAACAGGCTTTGTGGGACACGATCCATGTCTGCAGCAGGGGCAGGCCCTATGTGTTTTCTTTTTTTTTTTTTCATGTCAGAAGTGACTTGAGAAACTGCAAGTCGCTTCCGGTGTGAGGGAATTGGTTGTCTCCAAAGATGTTGCCTAGGGGAAGCTTGGATGTTTTATTTATTATTTATTTATTTATTTATTTATTTACTTCATTTATATAACGCTTTTCTCAGCCCTTGGACGACGCAAAAAGGTTAACAGTAGCAAAATCCAATCATAAAAAGAGTTTAAAAACAGTTTAAAAACAATGATATAATTAAAAAATCAGTTAAACATAACTATAACATCTCCTTAGCGTCTCATTGGTAGAATCAAGATCCAATCTCATAATCCGTTGTTTCATGTTTCTATATTCAACACACTAGTATTGTCATTCTAGTCCATGTCCTTTAAACTCAGCAAATACCTATTTATTTGGGGTTCTTTTACCCCGCCCTTCTCACCCCGAAGGGGACTCAGGGGACTCATATCTACTGTCCAAAGGCCTGGTCCCAAAGCCATGATTTTAATTTTTTTCTGAAAGCCAGCAGATCTTACCTCATTTGGGAGTGTGCTCCATAGGCTAGGGGCCACCGCCGAGAAGGCCCTGTCTCTCATCTCCACCAGACGTATTTGTGCAATTGATGGGAGGGAGAGCAGGGCCTCCCCGGATGATCTTAGATTACAAGATGGGATGTAGGAGTGGATGTGTTCGGACAAGTACGCTGGGCCAGAACCGTACACGGCTTTATAGGTTAAAACCAGCACTTTGAATTGGGCTCGGAGGTGGACCGGCAGCCAGTGGAGCTGGCACAACAGGGGGGTGCTATGCTCCCTGTATGTCGCCCCAGTTAGTAATCTGGCTGCCGCCCGTTGGACTAGTTGAAGTTTCCGAACCGTCTTCAAAAGCAGCCCCACGTAGAGCGCGTTGCAGTAATCTATTCGGGATGTAACTAGAGTGTGGACGACCGTGGCCAGATCAGACTTCCCAAGGCACGGGCGCAGCTGGGGTTCCAGGCTCAGCGATGAATCCAGGATCACTCCCACGCTGCGAACCTGCATCTTCAGGGGGAGTGTAACCCCATCCAACACAGGCTGTAACCCTATGCCCTGTTTTACCATCCTGTGGGAGGCTTCTCTCATGTGCCTGCATGGGAAGCTGGAGCTGACAGATGGGAGCTCACTACGCTTCTTGGATTCAAACTGCCAACATTTCGGTCAGCAATCCTGCCAGCACAAGGGTTTATCCCATTGCACCACTGGTGGTTCCTGACCCTATGCATGGAAAATCTCCAGAGGAAATTCACAAAGCCTTCTTTACTCAGTGAGGCTTGGGGAAGTTCCTTTTTTGAACTAGAGCTTCCAGATTTCCCCAGACTACATGGACTTTAGATATGTAGGCTGGGAAATTCTGGGAGATGTAGTTCAACCTTTTCCCCAAAACCTTTTCCAAGCCCTAGTTTGATCTCCTTCGTGACTTGCACATTTGCATTGACATGGACTCTGATGATGCAGTGGGACATATGGGAGTGTGAAGGATCTTCCATATGTCATCCTATGCATCCTTCTCAGTGTTTATAAGTGTCTCGGGACTTTCTTTGCATAGATAATGTCTTTATGGATAGTCCCATTGTGGTGACTTAAATGAAAACCTCCACTCTGTCCTCCTTTCGTAGAGACTTGAAGATGTGGCTCTTCAAACAAGCTTTTGAGAATGTTCAGTCGCTAGTTGTCTTGTGCTGTAGTCGCACATCCTTGCACATCCATGCCCTCTCTCCATTACTGCAGATTGCACTTATTTCATTCCTATTGTTTACAGCTTGGCCATGTTTACAGCAACTTAGCGCTACAGGTAGATGACTGCAGTTTGATTGAGTTTGAGTTTGTTTTTTATATGTACATGTATTTTATTGTATTTTATATTGTACTTCATTTTAATGATTTGTTTTTAGGCACTTTGTGCCATCTGTAAGCCACCCCGAGTCCCTTCAGGGAGATGGTGGTGGGATATAAAAATAAAGTTATTGTAATGCCAGGGTCAACCAGTTCATAAACCTGTTCAGACCCTGTACTCATATATGCACGATCTTTTATTCAATTGTAAGAGCTGAAACAAATCACTTCTCAAAGGTGGAGACCCTGTGACGCTCCAAACATAGTTTTCCATAATCCATGACCACTGACCATACTGCCTCAGACTCTTAGGCCCAGGAGCCCAACACAGGTTTCCCATTCCTGTTGTCCAGAATACTTAAATAGACTCATGAGCAATGCTTTTTTTTTACCTTGTCATTTTACAGTATACTTTCATATTGTAGAGTAAGACTGGGGAATGCCTCTGGTGTAAAGCATATTTATGCATTTGGGGGGATTATGTTAAAATGTGCTTTATATTTGATCCTTTTATATTCCTCTGGACTTTAGCTGAAGGAGTGGGTTTATATTTGCAAAAAGTCACTTATATACAAAGTATACATAAAGTGAAAATCTTTATGTGTGTATGTGACGGAGGGTGTCCACTTACACAGACAGGATCCCACTTCCACAAACATCTATAGCTCCCACTGCCGAGGAGACACTAATGGCCTTCCCTCCAATGACATTGCAGATTATAGTGAGTGCCATGAACATGTACAAAAGCCTTGCCAGTGTCCTCCACAAATGCCAAGCTGCCCACCACCAAAATGAAGGCTTTCATGTGGGGACAATGCCATCCTAGATGTCCACCACAGATATCCCAGTGTTTTTGACTCTCCATTGGTGTGGAATTTTCATGGCCCCACCCACTGTTTCTCCCTTAACCCTCTCCTACTCTTTTTTATGGGACACAGCAAACAGAGGAATTGATCAGGAACTGAACATACTAGAGAGGTTTGGGGGAATTAACCATGATTTTTAGGAATTGTAGGTCCTGGGATGTATAGTTCTCCTGCAGTCTAAGAGCAATCTGAACTCCAGCAACGATGGACCTGGAACTAATTTGGCACACAGAACCCGCATGACCAACAAAACATACTAGAGATCTTTAGAGGGATGTATAGGAATTGTAGTTCATCTACATCCAGAGCGCACTATAAACCCAAACAATGATGGATCTGGACCAAACTTGGCATGCATATCCAATATGCCCAAATTTGAATATTGGTGGGGTTTGAAGGGAATTAACCTGGACATTTTGGAGTTTTAGGTACTGGGACGTATAGTTCACTTGCAATCAATGAGCACTCTGAACTCCATCAAAGATACAATTGAACCAAACTTGGCACACAGAGCTCCCATGACCAGCAAAAAATACTGGACGTCTTTGTGAAAAATTCCCCTTGATTTGAGGGAGTTGTAGTTCACCTACATCCAGAAAGCACATGAACCCAAATACCGATGGATCTGGACCAAACTTGGCACACATACCTAATATGCCAAAATTTTATTACAGGAGGGGCTTGGGGGGAACTGACCTTCCATTCTGGAAGTTGTAGTTCACCCACAAATAGAGAAACTGTGACCTCCACCAATGATGGACCTGAACTACACTTGGCACATAGAACCCCCATGTCTAACTCAATCTACTGTAAGGGTTTGAGAGGACTGACTAACCCATAGTGGGAGTTGTAGATTACCCTGCAGCCAGAGAGCACACTGAACCCCACCAAAAATGCATCCAGAGCAAACTTGCCCAACATAACAAACTTTCAGCACTGATTGAGTTTTTTGTCTTTAACCTAATATGATGTGAGTTGTAGTTCACCCACAACCTTATGCATTTAGTACAATAAAATTGACTTTTTCAAATAACCCGGGCAACAGTGAGTACCCAAGCCAGTGCTAAAATAGAAACAATTTGATTTAAAGGAGCTGTGGCATTTCTTGTTTTCCCTCACCCTTTTCTCCTTTTTATGTTTTTATGGAGACTAACATGGCTATTCCTATGGACCCCCTCTAGTGTCTCACTAGTAGGTTTACTAATATATTGTATGGAAATGTATGTCATAAACATTTGGAGATTCTAAGATTCCTACCCCAATGTATATAAAGCTCTTGAATGCCTGAAATATATGTGGTAAATGTGAAGCCATGTGCAGATAAGAATAACAATGAATAATGGTCTCTCTGTCTGTAGCATGCAATGATGCTTCCAGTCCTCACTCACCACATCCGCTACCATCAATGCCTCATGCATTTGGATAAACTGATTGGCTATATATTTAAAGACCGGTGCTTATTGCAGGTAAGCCAGTGCTGAATTCCATAGACAAAACAAAAACAAAAACCTTACTTAGCATAGCCAGGCAGTCTTAGGACTTCTGGGGGATTTAGTCCAAAAAAAGTAACTTTTCCTGAGTATGTCAGAAGAGAACGAGTCAAAGGATTGTTGCTATATTATCCCATCAAGGATTTGCAGTAAACAGAGATGTGTATCACAGCAGAAGGAGCTCCCGGTGGCGCAATGGGTGAAACCGGTCTGAATCCTGGGAGAGTGAGTTGAGCTCCCTCTGTCAGTTCCAGCTTCCCATGTAGGGACATGAGAGAAGCCTCCCACAAGGATGGTAAAACATCAAAATATCTGAGCATCCCCTGGACAACATCCTTGCAGATGGCCAATTCTCTCACACCAGTTTCTCAAGTCACTCCTGACATTAAAAAATATCACAGCAGAAAATACAAGTGGATTACAAAGGGCCCTCAAGTGTGACACCAAGAATGAGAATAACTCAAGATGCCCAATGATAATTCCCTAAATAAAGCTAGTGGACTTTGAAACAATTTATCAGTCACTGTGTAGAGCCTTGGAAGCATTTGTATGAGTAAAGTTCTATAAAAGGTGAAAATTCTGACCAGTTATTTTTACAAAATGAATATAGAAATGATCCTTTACCATAATTTGCTTGGCTGAATGAGCTTGTACAATTTCATGACAGATGTCATGGTTAAAACCTCAGTGTAATACATGATTCTGAGTTTGTTTTGCTTTTTGGATTCTGTGTTTTAGCTTGCCATGACTCATCCAAGTCACCACTTAAACTTTGGGATGAATCCAGACCATGCAAGAAATTCCTTATCCAACTGTGGGATCCGGCAACCCAAATATGGAGATAGGAAAGTCCATCACATGCATATGAGGAAGAAAGGTGCTTGCACTCTCCTTTCTAACATCATTGTTTAAGATAGTTGGAAACTGTTTCACATGCTCTTTTCTCATGATCTGAATGTTCAATCCCTTTGACACAGTGATGGTACGGTGAGTAAGCAGAGTTTTTGGCCTGTTCTGCCTTTCAGAGCAGGTGAGCTAAGGATTCTGAATTCATTTTTGATAAACTATCTCTAGTACATCAGGATGACAGGATGTGCTTGTTAAGGCAGAATTACTAAAATAGGGCATTTTGTGCTTTTGAGCAGGACCAGGACAGATCTTTTAAAGGATACAAAAAACTAGAAACCATGAGTAATGGCAAGACTGAGATGGAAAAATCGCAACCAGGTAGTTGATCCATAGCCCTGCAGGCATGGTTGAAAGCAGAAGCACTGTTTAACAGTGGTGGTATCAAGCTACCTCACAAGCTTGATGGAGCTGTGTGTCGGACAACAGAAAGAATATAACAGACTGTCTGTAACAGTCCACTATACCTCATCGGTTCAGAACAGACATGTTTTTTCAATAGATTAGTTCACATTTTGTTGATTTCTAATATAATGTTGTTTGTATTTCACAGGCATAAATACCTTGATCAATATTATGTCACGTCTTGGACAAGATGATCCAGCCCCTTCAAGGTACACAAATACCTTAATGTGTGTGTGTGTGTGTATGTGTCTGTGGCCAGAGGAAGACTGCATGTTGATTCTGATGGCGGCATTGAAATCTTAATACAGCTCAATGAATACTTGGGTCCAAAGAGCACTTAAGGTTGAGGTGCAACAAAGTTTTTGGATATGGGTTCAAAGCATGGTAACAAGGATGGAGAATAAAACACGAGAAGAGATTGAGGGAGCTGGGCATGTTCAGCTTGGTGACGAGAAGACTGGTCACATTTATTTAATAGCTCAATATCTATTGTTGTCGTTTGTAGCCTGTATTTTCTTTCTAAAAAGAGACTTAGCAGGGAGGATACTGACCTGTTCAGAGGACTGAACCAAGTCTAATGGTTCTCAGTTACAGGGCAGTAGGTTTCAATTGAATATTACAAGAAAATTGCATTGGATAAACCACATCAGCTCTAGTTTCTTAGATATGGTTAACATGGTTTTCTGTGGGTGAGCAGATGGCGACTGGTAGATGGTATATGTTCTGTATCTCAAAAACTAGAGTTGATAAGGGAATACTGGTGCCATTTTTGGAATCAGCAGCTCAAATATACCCAGAAACAGAGCAAATATTCAAGGCACTAAAGTATGTTGGCCAATGTTATTTACTCTTTTGGAAACGTAAAGGTTTTTTTCCGCAACCACTGACAGTTTATTCCACACTATGCCCCAATCACATACTATAAATCAGTGATTCCCAGCCTTTTTTGACCAGGGACCACTCTCCAACATCAATACCAAAAGGGTTACAAATCAGTTTTTGATGAACTTTAGGTTTGGTTATTTGGGGTGCTGCTTCAGAAAATTGCATTGCATAGACCATATCAGCTCTAGTTTCTGATACAGAACAGATGCCATCCAGTATTTGCCATTTGTTTGCCCACAAAAAACCCCCCATATTTAATAATATAGAGCTGACGTGGTAGTAGTAATCTTTCATGAATAGTCAGCCTCTCGCCTCCTGACCTCCCCATTGCCTCGGCACTGTAAGAGGGTTTCGTGAGAAAAAAAGCTGTAGTAATGGTGAGGCTGCAGACTATATTTTTATTTTTGTTCTTGCGGACTACTGGTGGTCCACAGACCACAGATTGGGAACCACTTCTATAACTGAATGCACTTTTGAACCAGTGGAATTGTGGATCCTAATTTGCACCAACTGCAAACTGTAAATGTGTGTATTTTCCCCAGTATTTTTATTTAAAAGTTTAACAATAAAAACACACAAAAAGAAAAGCAACAATACCATAACAATGCCACAACAATACACAACAAACATACATCTTTACCTAATACTCTAAATCTACCAACGTGTTGGTAGTTTTAGAGTCTCTATAAATTTAACATTTTTTCTTCCAATTTGTATCCATCAAATTGTTTATGTCTGTTTGTTTTAACATTTACAAGTGAATCTCCCAACCCTTTACGTCTCCAAACTCTTATGCTGGTTGAATTGCTGACCTGAAGGTCAGCTGTTTGAATCTGTGAAATGGGGTGAGCTCCCATCTGTCAGCTCCAGCTTCTCGTTCGGGGACATGAGAGAAGCCTCCCACAGGATGGTAACACACCCAGGCATCCCGTGGGCAACATCTCTGCAGACAGCCAATTCTCCCACACCAGAAGCGACTTGCAGTTTCTCCAGTCACTTCTGACACGATAAAAAAAGTCTCAAAAACTGAACATAAAGTCTTTCCCTTTCCTTCCAATATATATTGATAAAATAACTTCCATTCTTTCATTTTTTTAAATTTATAAACTGAAATACTTATTCCACCCTTCAGTAAAACTCTCTGAGTTGTATCTGCTGATTTCTGCTTAAGATCTTTTAAACTTCTGTCTTAGAAGGTGTGTTTACCCACTAACCTATACCTATAGAAATACAACACCAAAGCACTCTTGAATGATATCCATCCAAAACAGCTCTTGCAGTCAAGAGATTCTTTTCAATGGCTATGCCACCTGGGGAACTATGCTCTAGTCGAGTAACATTTCCAAGTTCCCCAGGTGGCATAGCCATTGAAAAGAATCTCTTGACTGCAAGAGCTGTGGAATAGAATGCATAATGCTTGGTAAACTTAGCTTCTTTAAACAGAGGTTGGCTGGATATCATTCAAGAGTGCTTTGGTTTTGTATTTCTGCATAGCAGAGGGTTGAACTAGATGACCCTCGCCATCTCTTCCTACTCTACGAGTTTGTGATTGTATCTTTTCCTAGCTTTAGTTATGATCTTGACAGACGATATATTGGGAGAAAATGTTGCTGCTCAGAAAAGGCCACGTAAAGATAGTCCGTCAGGGATGAACGGGGAGGCCTTTCCTTTCAGCTCCTCTCATGCCATTTCTCATAACAGTCACCAGCTTCACTGGTGCTCTATCAATCTTGGCATTTATCTTGAGACATTGTGTAATTACAGCAGTGTAAAACAGATTACAAGTTTTGTTGTTGCTGTTGTTTTACATAAGATTAGGGTGATGGGAGGGAGGAACTACACCCTCTTCCCAGTGGGCAAGAGCAATCTAGTCTGATCAATTATTCATTTCCCTTCCCTTTTCCCATTCTTAATTAATTTGACTAGAAAAGCTGTGCTTCTGAGATTTGTAATTGCCATTCCCTGTCTGTCTTTATGTAATAAGAGATTTGCACTTACATAAGTAGGACCAGCATATATATGTGTGTGTGTGTATGTATATGTATATGTATGTATGTGTGTGTGTATGTAGGTATTACGGGGGGGGGGGGGTGTCTCCTTTTCAGCCTGTTAGCCACCCAGACATGTTTGTTTTTGTTTTCCTTTCTGTTTCGTCTGATGGTACCACCATAAATTAAGTAAACATTTGAGTTTCCCAAGCATGATAATACCTTGCTCTTGGTTCTCAGTGGTCCTCCTTTAGCTACAGTCCATCCAGAACTTCATTGTATCAGCTTGTTTTTCTGGGGTGAAAATCCCTAAAACTAAGTCACAAAATTTAAACGAAAGCATTTTTTTCTAAGTCAGCCCATGCTCTATTGTCTTCTTCCATTTCACAACTGAATCAGGGAATCTTACAATAGAGGAATGGATTGCAAGCAGGTCTGTGCATGGGTTTTTGGCATCCCCTCCCCAATTTTCCTGCTATATTATACTTGTGATGCATCTCAATACATATTGTCCTTTAGCATCTTTTTACAGCATGTATCACATGCTAATTACCACGGTTATATTTCTGATCACAGGCAGGGAGCACATTTGTATGCACCAACATAAACTTTAAGGTAAAGGTTTCCCCTTGACATTAAGTCTAGTCGTGTTCGACTCTGGGGGTGGTTCTCATCTCAATTTCCATGCCGAAGAGCTGGTGTTTTCCATAGACACCTCCAAGGCCATGTGGCCATCATGACTGTGTGGAGTGCAGTTACCTTCCCTCAGAAGTGATATCTATTCATCTATACAACTTTGCATGTTTTCAAGCTGGTAGGTTGGCAGAAGCTGGGGTTAACAGTGGGAGCTCACTCGGCTCCCCAGATTTGAACCGCCAACCTTTCGGTCAGCAAGTTCAGCAGCTCAGTGTTTTAACCCGCTGCACCACCATAAATTTTAGATCTCAGTTATCCCCCTCCCCGCTGTTTACACTATGTAACAAAATTTGGAAAAAATTCTCTTCCTGGTTTGAAAGTGTTATTTAATTGCGCGGCCCTTCCTTTGAAAATAGTTCTTATACTCCAAAAACTTTGTTTTGTTTTTTGTCCTTCGATTACAGAAAAGTTGGTAATTTTCCTTAATGAAAATATGCCATTTTAACCTTTCAAAACAAAGTTTTTGCAGTTTAGTAAACCTTTTCTGTGTTTTTATGAAAGAACCAATTAAGAAATGGCATTTACCAACCCAGTAACGAAAATCGTGTTACATAGTGTTACTGAACCACAGTTAGAAGCCTTTTGACCTTGTGTGTTTTCAGCTTAGCTGTCTCCTTCCATCTTCCACAGCAAACAATGTTTTCTGTATTTCAGCAAGTCATTTCCAGTAAAAATGCACATATCTCTATCAGAACTTAGGAGGCGGCCTTAGAACAAGTCAGATCAATGGTTCTTCAAAGTACATTCAACTGTCCTGCTCCTACTTGGAAATGCTGGGACTGAAACTGGAATCCTGTCCGTGAAAAGCACCGAGCAATGACTTTTTGCTGTTGTGCACATACAGACTGAGCATATAAAAAATGATAGGGAGGGTGACAAAATTTTATGAAATATGGGGTGTAAACTCTGCACGATATGCTTTCTTTTCTCCCTGTAGACATGGTGTCCAAAGCCTATAGATGGCCTAGGAGAAGGCATCTCCTTTAAATCACCAGCAATAATGGCAGTGCATGGAAAAGTTGGTCTCAGCATGCCATTGCACATTGTTATTTTTTTCCCCTTTTTTGTTAATAAGTTGACACCAAATGATGATCAGCCTTATTACCTTTCAGGCTGCCTGTGGTTTTAGTAACATGCAGAAGAAACACAAATATACACAGCTATGCAGCTGAGGAGGCAGTGTTAAAGAAGGGAGACAGCAGGAGTCTTAGGTCTTTCTGTTTGTTTCCCAAGGAATTAACCAGCAGCTAGATCCCCCCCTCCCCCCCCCCCCTGCCGCCCTATTCCTACTTACTTGTATGCATCAGGATCATTTTTAACAATCTTTACCTCTGTTTACAGAATTAACCATAATGAACGTTTGGAATTTTTGGGAGACGCAGTGGTTGAATTTTTAACGAGGTATGTAGTGAGTTCATGCCTAATATATGTACTGTGATAAATCATGCCTAGCTCATTAAAACAACCCATTATATTTCAGAATATCAAATCGGTGAAAGCATATACTACCAACTAATTTTATATTGCTTGGAAAGAAACATTAGAGACCTCTAACAATGCATATACACACACATTTATGCAACATTTATTATGTACCAGAAATATAGACATATATGACTTTTTCAAATTTATGTTTACTAGAGTACTCATCCTTCTGTTTTAAAGGGGAGGCATGAAAGCACTTATGAAGTTACTTACTTCCAAATCATCCTGACTTTGAAAACAGATTGAGAACTGTATTGTCGAAGGCTTTCATGACTGGAATCACTGGGTTGTTGTAGGTTTTTCGGACTATATGGCCATGTTCTAGAAGCATTCTCTCCTGACGTTTCACCTGCATCTATGGCAAGCATCCTCAGAGGTTGTGAAACATCAGGAGAGAATGCTTCTAGAACATGGCCATATAGCCCGAAAAACCTACAACAACCCAGATTGAGAAATTTTGTGATGGTCTTAAAGAAGCAACACAAAAGTGTGCTACTGTTGTTGTTTTTTTTTAAGACATTTGGTAGTTCTTCTAAAACAACAAACACATTCAAATCTAGATCTGATGTTTAGTGCAACACTCTTGATTGATTTCTAAATATTCTGTTCTCTATGAGTTCATACTGGAATCTTGTGTGGATGATCCTGGTAATTGCCATAATGCTACTGAAGCAGCTAAATGATAACCACAGGATTGGTACAATGTTTTAATATGTTTTATGTTCATGTTATGATGTGTTTTTGTATAGTTTTAATAGTTTTTAATGGTTTTACTTCATATGTATATGTTATTGATTTAGTTATGCTATGTATTGCTTTTTATGTATGTTCAGCATTGAATTTAGTCATGCTGTACACCACTCTGGGCCACCCCACCCCCTGGGATTGGAAGCTCGATATAGAAATGCAATAAATATCTGGAGTCAAAAGATATATCACTCCATCTCCTAGATATTTGCTACAGAATGTATTGAGGGGGTTGAATCCCTATATAAGTGCAGTTGGCCCTCCACATTTACTGGAGTCAGGGGTGCCGGGTTTCTGTGAAAGTGAAAATAACATGAATTAAAATCTGTTATATTTTTACCTAAGAGAACACCTCTGAAGGAATTTTTAGGTTCTCCAGCACAACACTAGGGTCAGCTTCCAGTGCAAGTTGTTCAAAGTTTTACAAGTGTATGTATATATGAAACCACTGGGAGAGGTTATCTAGAGTTTTGGACTACGGTGCCACCTATATGTGGATGACACCCAACTCTACTACTCCTTTCCACCTAAAGCCAAGGAAGCTGTCCTGACCTTAAACCAGTATTTGTCATCAGTAATGGATGAGGGCAAACAAATTGAAACTTAATCCAGACAAGACAGAGGTATTCTTGGTCAGTCAAAAAGCAGATCAGGGAACAGGGATCCAGCATGTGCTGGTTGGGGTTACACTTCCCCCTGAAGACACAGGTTTGCGGATTGGGGGTCCTTCTGGACTTAGCACTGAACCTGGAGGCCCAGGTATTGACGATGGCTGGGAGGTCCTTTGCACAATTAAAACCTGTGCAGCAACTGTTCCGGTTCCTTGAGAAGCTAGATATGGCCATGGTGGTACATGCCTTAATTACATCCCTTCTGGATTACTATAACACACTCTTGTGGGGCTGCCTCTGAAGAGTCCTTGGAAATTGGTCCAAAGATGGTCCAAAGAGCTACAGCCAGGTTGCTAATGGGCTGGCTACAGGGAGTGGACAACTCCCTGCTGCAGCAGCTCCACTGACTGCCAGTCTGTTTCTGGGCACAATTCAAAGTGATAACTATGGCCTTTAAAGGCCTAGACCAGTAGTTCTCAGCCTTTGAGTCTCCAGGTGTTTTGACCTACAACTCCCAGAAATCCCAGCCAGTTTACCAGCTCTTAGGATTTCTGAGAGTTGAAGGCCACAACATCTGGGGACCCACAGGTTGAGAACCACTGCCCTATATGGCTCAGATCCATGCTATTTGGCTGACCGCATCTCCTTGTATGAACCTGCCCAGACTCTGAAATCTTCAGAAGAGGCTCTTCTTTCGGTCCCAGTTAGTGGGAACGAGAGAGCGGGCCTTTCTTCTCAGTGGCTGCATCTGGGCTCAGGAACTTCCTTTTTCCAAGGGAAGCCAGAATGGCTCACTCCCTGCTGTCCTTCCGACGGCAGGCTAAAACCTTTTTATTAAAGACAGGCTTTTAAAGAGGAAGATTTTTAAGATCATGTTAGAAGGTGCTGCGAAAATGTTTTAATGGATTTTAATGGTGAATTTTTAATAGTGTTTATGTGTTTTAATTTTTGTTTGTTTATTTGTATTCTTAAATTGTATGCTAATGCTTTTGTGTCAAGCTGCTTTGAGTCTCCTCCAGGAAAGATACAGTGGGGGTATAAATAAATATTGTTGTAGTAGTAGTTGTTGTTGTTCATTCGTTCAGTCGTCTCCGACTCTTCGTGACCTCATGGACCAGTCCACGCCAGAGCTCCCTGTCGGCCGTCACCACCCGCAGCTCCTTCAAGGTCAGTGCAGTCATTTCAAGGATGCCATCCATCCATCTTGCCCTTGGTCGGCCCCTCTTCCTTTTACCTTCCACTTTCCTCAGCATAATGGTCTTCTCTAGGCTTTGCTGTCTCCTCATGATGTGGCCAAAGTATTTCAGTTTTGTCTCTAGTATCCTTCCCTCCAATGAGCAGTCGGGCTTTATTTCCTGGAGGATGGACCGGTTGGATCTTCTCGCAGTCCAAGGCACTCTCAGAACTTTAAAAATAATAATAATACAGAGCGATATAATTACTTTTGGAATAATGTATATTGTAATTAGTTGTTCCAGTGTGCCTTTCCAGAATAAAGAAACTCCTAGCATTATGTCCCAATGCACTTTATCAGAGATCTAGGATATCTGCATGCCCATCCCCCTCCTAACACTCCACCTGGTCACACCGAGCACTTTTTAACTTAATTATTACATTTGGCCCTGCCATTGATTTTAATTGCGTCATTGTGCGTTGTTAATGTTGTTGCTTTGTTTTTTGAGTTACTTTGTTGTTGTTGTTGTTATTGTTTTTACTATTGTATGTGGTCTTGGCCTTTTGTAAGCCACACCGAGTCCTTCGGAAGATGGTAGCGGGGTACAAATACAGGTTAATTATTATTATTATAAGTCCTGTATGGCAAAATTTAGTTGATTGTTGGGATGTATCAAATATTTTTTTAAAAAAAGTTTAAAATTGCAAGTGCTGTCATTCCAATTCTCTGCCATATGCTAGAAGGGAGGAAGAAGCACAGAAACCCATGTTCAAGAGCTACCTCTTTTGGTGTTGATTTTCATTAGTTCATCTCACCATTGGTTCTCAGAAGAGAGAAAAAGGAGGCATGGGACTGTTCCTTTCAGTAATAGCCACCCTTTGTTCATAATGGCCATTTTCAAACTTCTGTATCCGCTATGAGCAAAGCATTTTCTTTTTGCTGAAATAGCTGATTAATCAGTTGTTCCTTTCCATGGCCATTGTATACATTGTTATGGAGCAGCTATAAGAAAAAGTTGTTTCCTCCCCACGTCCTTGGGGGGGATGAGCTTGAAAAGTTGTGTATCCATCTCATGGCATTTTGAAGTTTCATGCCGTGTTGGAGCCCTAAAGTGTATTATTGTGAGGTGAAATGCTGATGGCTCAGCCCCATCACAGGTAATTTAAAAGTTTCTCGTAACAGCTCAGAGGATCAGCTAGTCTGAGGCCAAATGTTTCAAAGTTTAGAGCCAGCAAATAAAAGGAATACATCATTTTAGAAGGTGTCATCTTCTTGTCATGGAACTCCTCGATCTTTCTAGTTATAATCTCAAGTGAGATGTGTGTTTACAAGTAAACTTTGGATGGGAAGGAAAATCTCCTCTCATAGCGTAGTGTTACTATACATTAATCCTGACTTCATAAAGGTACACTTGGCACCCCGTCTTTCTTACGGCACTATGCTGCCATATTCATGTAGTTGCAATCTCATCAAATAAATCACTAAAATATTCCCCGTTAATAGAAAATTGATCCAATTTTTCTTTCATAGCCGCATTTTGAAAGTATTGAAAAAATAGCTAAAAATAACATAAAATTGACTTTTTATCGCCTAGTGAAAACAGCAGCCATTTTCTTGATAAGTGTCATTTGTGACAGAAAGCAGTATCAAGAAAATCCGCAGTGGCAGATTTGAAACCCATTTCCAGATCTCAGGTGTGTCCACTTGTAATGGGAAAAGTAGTCCGTTTATTTGGAGAGAGGCTCTTAAAGTGTTAAGATGTTACAGATAAAGGGAAGAAAAATGGCTCCATTGCCTTCCAACAGGTACTTTGGATGATCAGTTTTTGTTTTGTTTTGTTCACCTTAATCTGTATCTGGGCTTTTATCCCCTAAAATAATAGGTGCTGAAGGACAGTTCAAAAACAAGCTTTTTTAGTATTTATATTTACAGTGAACGTTCATAGCATATTTTACGCACAATCTTTTGAAGCCTGAAAATTGGTACTATGAGTGTATACCTTTTTCTGATGCAATTTGTGTAAATTGCACAGAACCTTCACAGTAATAATCTCCCTGCTTAGAAATAATAATAATAATAATAAAAAAGTAGGTAGGATAAGTGAGAAAGGCAGCTTAGGGTTTTGGTTTAAATGCTGGACTACTCCTTCTGTAGACCAGGGTTCAACTTGCCACTCAGTGATTGAAACCCAATGGCTAATCTTGGGCAAATCATGCATTTGCAACCTTAGAGGATGACACTGAGAAACGCTTTCTTGAATTGATTCTGCCAGGAAAACCCTGTGATATTGACATAAGTCACAGTCTACTGGAAGGCATATAATAACAGCAAAGGATAAATGATGGGCATGGTGAACCAATGTTTAGTTCTTTCATTTTTTTTCTAAATCCTTTTAAGAAGTCACTCAGTATTTTAGCCTAACTGACAGTGTTGAGAAATCAGCTGAGATCATGAGGAAAGCACATGCAATGCAAAAAGCCATCGACTATTGAAGCAATTCTAAATTACATTGCCTTTGGTGGTGTGTTTCTGCAAGACAGGGGCTTGAACTGAATGGTTCTTATGGCCACTTCCGACTCTGTGACTCTACTTGGTCAAACTGTACCCATTTCACAAATTTGTTCAGCGTGCAAAATAAGAATCAATAGTCACCCAAAAACTACTTTCTTGGGGTTTCTTTCAGCTTTGTATGCTATTCCTACCAAATTTGGACAAACAAATTTGAGCGGTGCCCAGAATATGATTCTTGCTATGGAACTTTTGTTAGTGAATATGTATTAATGTATTGTCGAAGGCTTTCATGGCTGGAATCACTAAGTTCTTGTGGGTTTTTTCGGGCTATATGGCCATGTTCTAGAGGCATTTCTCCTGACGTTTCGCCTGCATCTATGGCAAGCATCCTCAGAGGTAGTGAGGTGAATCTCACTACCTCTGAGGATGCTTGCCATAGATGCAGGCGAAACGTCAGGAGAAATGCCTCTAGAACATGGCCATATAGCCCGAAAAAACCCACAAGAACTTAGTGAATATGTATTGTCAAAGGCTTTCATGTCCAGAATCGCTGGGTTGTTGTAGGTTTTTTTGGACTATATGGCCATGTTCTAAAGGCATTCTCTCCTGACCTTTCTCCTGCATCTATGGGAAGCATCCTCAGAGGTTGTGAGGTCTGTTGGAACTAGGAAAATTGGGTTTATATATCTGTGGAATGACCAGGGTGGGACAAAGAACTCTTGTCTGTTGGAGCTAGGCGTGAATGTTTCAACTGATCACCTTGATTAGCATTTGATGGCCTGGCAGTTTTTTGGTGTGGCTTGTTAGTGCCTGGGGGAATCTTTTGTTGAGATGTGATTAGCTGTCCCTGATTGTTTCCTCTCTATTGTTTTGCTGTTGTAATTTTAGAGTTTTTTAATAGCCAGATTTTGTACATTTTCATGGTTTCCTCCTTTCTTTTGAAATTGTCCACATGCTTATGAATTTCAATGGTTTCTCTTTGTAGTCTGACATGGTGATTGATAGAGTGGTCCAGCATTTCTGTGTTCTCAAATCATATGCTGTGTCTAAGTTGGTTCATCAGGTGCTCTGCTATGGCTGACTTCTCTGGTTGAAGTAGTCGGCAGTGCCTTCCATGTTCCTTGATTCATGCTTGGGCACTGCGTTTGGTGGTCCCTATGTAGACTTGTCCACAGCTGCACGGTATATGGTAGAGTCCTGTTAGTGCATGGTATACGGTAGACTCTTGTTAGTGAATTGAGATAAATCACCTTCCTTATCTCAGCTGCTTCAACCTTACAAGTTCTACTTGAAGGCAGCCACAGACCCATAGCTGCTATTGCTGTTAGCCTGTTATAGTACTGTACTTAATTCCCGATCCCCTCATAGTTTGAGTTTCACTATCCACGTCCCAGCCTTTTAATTGCTCTGAACAAGCAGGATTATTTTATATATGTGTGTGTATGTTATTGTGATAATGTTATTCTTATGTTGTTTTGTTAATTTTATGTTATGTTGTTTACGCTGTATGTTTTGGTGATGTTGCTTGGAAACCGCCCTGAGTTCCCCTCGGGGAGATAGAGCAGTATATAAATAAAGTTTTTCTATTATTATTTTATAAGGCACAAACTGGTAAAAACACCGGACTCCTTAATTCAACTTTCACTGAAAGTGGCACATTGTCTTTTATTTAAAAAAAATATACAAGACAATCTTCAATCATGTCTGCTCACATCTCTGCACACTGCAAGAAGCACATTTCTTTTTTATCAGAGCTTCTTCATCCAGTCAGCACAGGAAACTCCAAAAGTGACAATCTACCAATACTACACATCTTTATGTTTTAACCCATTAATCTCTGAAATCACACAGTTTAAACTATAAGCAGTTTTCATACCATATAACATTATATACTGACAACTTTTACCCCAGAAGAGTAGAGGAGGATGAAGGAGTATTCATTTCAGCACAATCCAGGTTATTGAACTCCTGCTATTACATACAATTACATACAGTGGAACTACCTAAAATAATCTTCCACCTTATGCGACTGTGGAGCAGAAAAAACAACTCCACACCTGTATGCTTGTCCACAATGCCCTGCCTCACGTACAGAGGAAGAGTTGTTTAAAGCTACAGACAATGTGGTTGCTGTTGCCCAGTTTTGGTCAAAAATTATTTAGCCGCTTGTGCTCCTTCTATTTTTATCAGTTATATATTAGTGTGTTAAATGCTTTTGACACAAAATAAATAATTGTTTTTGTCGTGTCAGGAGTGACTTGAGAAACTGCAAGTCGCTTCTGGTGTGAGAGAATTGGCCGTCTGCAAGGATGTTGCCCAGGGGACGCCTGGATGATTTGATGTTTTTATCATCCTTGTGGAAGGCTTCTCTCAGGTCCCCGCATGAGGAGCTGGAGTTGATAGAGGGAGCTCATCCGCCTCTCCTCGGATTCAAACCTGCAACCTGTCGGTCTTCAGTCCTGCCGGCACAGGGGTTTAACCCACTGCTCCACCGGGGACTCCAATAAATAAATAAAGCTCCTGCTATGATTCCAAAATCTTTTTTGAAAGCCCTGACAAGGGGAAATCTCTAATGCTTCAGTAACATGACATAGTTTAAAGACTAGTAATGTTCTGGTGTGGGTGCCATCTTATCTGCCAAAATCAGTATTTCATGTCAGCAAATTTGGGAGAATGAGGTTGTGTTTTGGAAGAACGTCTTAAGAGCTTTTGGATTTTAATTTGATTTTTACTCTTAACTTTTCAGTGTCCATTTGTACTACCTGTTTCCAAGCTTAGAGGAAGGAGGCTTGGCAACATATCGCACAGCCATCGTTCAGAATCAGCACCTTGCTATGCTGGCTAAGGTACATATCTGTATATTTACCATCTCATAATTGTTAGATCTCAGTGTGATTTAGCTGCATAATTCCTCAGTCTGCGTCTCTGTGTGAAGAAGGCATAAATTCTGCTTTGTGCCCCCAAGGTCGTTCAAATACCAGAAGTGGCTGTCTAGATAGAGATCAATATGTGTTTGATATGAGCTGTAGTATTAGAAAGTTATGGAAGATTCACTAAGAGGTACTTCCTTCAATTTATGCTTCACAGTGCACATGAAGCATTCTCTCTTGTGCACATTTCACATTATGTATACCTAAATATTGTAGGAGTATTTGCTTATCTATATGTAAAGTGTATTGCCATCAGTAGCAAAGGCAGATAGGAGGTGATTGCTAGATATGCAGGGCTGGAAAAACATCTTGCTTGCTATTACGATGGTGAATATTGAGAGAATTCTGAAAAAATATGTAATTAAGGTGGCCTTCATGCTGTAGACTGGGATCAGTATTTATGTTTCAACCTCGTGTAACATCCCACCCTCTAATAACTGTGTCAGCTTGTTTGCCTAGTGATGCTTTTAAGCCAAAATTAAAAGGTGAGGCATGGGAGCAGGAAAAAAATTGAGAAAAAGATGGATGTGTTTGATTAAAAAAAAAACCTGAAAGTGGTTCAAGATGGGGAAACCCTTGCTGTGGAAACACTGAAAACTACTTGTAACCTGCTTTTAGCACTGATGTGTAGGAATATTTTATTTATTTATTGTGTCAGAAGCAAATTGAAGGTTGTAGGTATCATGTATTTAAAAACACAAAGAAAGTTTAAAACTTGGCATTATACTAAATGTCCTTTTACCAGATGCTGGCCAGTTGGAGTGCCTCTGCTGTCACTGTGAGAAGGTCCTCCATTGTGCATGTGGCAGGTCTCAGGCTGCATTGTAATAGGTGGTCTGCGGTTTGCTCTTCTCTTTGTAGCCCCATTTCTTGTTAGCCCCATTTCTTAAAATTGGCTCTGCACCTCGTGGTGCCAGAGCACAGTCTTCCAAGTCGCCCAGTCTTCTGTGTGCCCAGGAGGGAGTCTCTCATCCAATAGCAGCCATAGATTGAGGCCTGCCACTTTTGGACTCTCATTTGCTGAGGTGTTCCTGCAAGTATCTTTTAGATCTTAGACTATTGTTAAATACATCAAAATTGAAAAGTTGGATGGGAAGACTCATAATAATAAATCAAATGGAGAAGGTTGGAAGACCTATAATGGAATTGTGGAAAATTTGTCATATTCCGGTTTGTTGCCTATCCTGCCAAGAACTGGTGGGAATTGACATAGTCTGCCAACATATTGGTAATTGTAATTCATCCACAGCACATTTCTTCTGTTGATCACAACAGCTAATTCTACAGGACTAAAGAGAAGAATGTGGAAGCCTTATTAAAACTAGAAGGTAGCTGTGCTGGTCAGTGACCGTAATAAAGTCTTGTACTTGTACTAGAAGGTAGCATTTGTAATTGTGACATAATTCCAACTTGGGGGTGTGGAGTGATCATATCATAGAATGAGAAAATTTTGTGAAATCCTGAAGCTAATATTTTCCATCCACATGCTGGAGCTTTAAAGTTTATGAATATTTTTGTGTCTCAGTCTCTACTCTCCCTTTTGAGTTACTCGACATTTAGAAAATGAAGCGTTTCTCACCATTTCACCTCTGTGTAAGGGAAAGGTCTTCAAAATAAAATCTATGCTGATCAGCTTGCAGGCAAAGTTATTCTCAGGAGCGTGTCTTGCAATCTCTATCTCAGAGAAGAACAAACCCCCAGTGCCAGAAAGAACACTTCCTCCAGGCCCTTCTGACCTCTTCCATAATGAATTTGGGACTCAGTATAGTAGATAGGGAGTTGGCAGAAGGAAGAGGTTGAGGTGTACAAAGGGGAGAGATAAAGAAAGTCCCATTAGGTAAAGCTACACATCCTTGCACACAGTGGAACCTATATGTATGCAAACATGTGGCTCTCTGTAAACATGCTGTTGTCTGTGTGTGTGTGTGTGTATGTCTGTGTAAACTTCCTCCTCCCAAGAATGAGAATTTTTTTTAACCAAAGTTCCCAGAACTCTTTAACATACAATCCCCCCCCCCCTCCCCTTTCGTCAGCTTCACTGGCTGCCAGTCTGCTACCAAGCACAATTCAAAGTGCTGGCTTTAGCCTATAAAGCCCTAAACCAGTGGTTCTCAACCTGTGGGTCTCCAGGTGTTTTGGCGTACAACTCCCAGAAATCCCACCCAGTTTACCAGCTGTTAGGATTTCTGGGAGTTGAAGGCCAAAAACATCTGGGAACCCCAGATTGAGAACCACTGCAAACGGTTCTGGCTGAGCTTACCTGTTTGAACATACTGTATCTCCCTCTATGATCCACCTTGAAGGCTAAGATTGGCTCTGCTCTTGGTCCCACCCCACTCACAAGCACAAGTTGGGGCCGAGAGACAGGGCCTTCTCAATGGTGGCCTCTCATCTATGGAACTCCCTCCCCAGCAAAATTAGATCCTCCCCCTCGAGACCTTCAGGGAAAAAAACTAAAAACATGGCTTTGGGATCGGGCTTTTGGTCAGTAAATGGGAGCAGTGCAATAAGAGACCATTAATAACACAATGACAACTCGAATCGGCCCTGGAATATGACCTGGATTGTGCGATTTTAATTGATGTTTTAGTTGGTTGGGATTTTATTGCATTTGTTTATTTAAGTATATGTATATGCACTACTGAATTGTTGCCTTTGTAAAGCGGCCCGGAGTCCCCTTCAGGGTGAGAAAGGTGGGGTACAAGTGTGGCAAATAAATAGATAAATAAATAAACTTCTAGCTCAGTGTTTCTCGACCTTCCTAAAGCCGTGACCCTTCAATATAGTTCCTCATGTTTTGGTGATCCCCAACCATAACATTATTTTTGTTGCTACTCCATAAATGTAATTTTTCTATTGTAATGTAATGTAAATATCTGATAATGCAGGATGTATTTTCATTCACTGGACCAAATTTCGCACAAATACCTGATACGCTCAAATTTGAATACTGGTGGGATTGTGTGTGTGTGTATGGGGGGGGGGTGATTTTGTCATTTGGGAGTTGTAGTTGCTGGGATTTCTACTTCACCTACAATCAGAGAGCATCCTGAACTCCACCAGTGATCAACTCCACCAGGAATTGAACCAATTTTGGCACACAGAACTCCCATGACCAACAGAAAATACTGGAAGGGTTTGGTGGGCACTGACCTTGAGTTTTGGAGTTGTAGTTCACCTACATCCAGAGAGCACTCAAACAATGATGGATCTGGATCAAACTTGGCATGAATCCTCAATATGCCCAAAAGTGAACTCTGGTGGAGTTTGGGGAAAATAGATCTTGACATATAGGAGTTGTAGTTGCTGGGATTTATAGTTTATCTACAATCAAAGAGCATTCTGAACCCCACCAATGACAGAATTGGGTCAGCCTTCCCACACAGAATCCCCACGACCAGCAGAAAATACTGTGTTTTCTGATGGTCTTTGGTGACCCCTCTGACACCCCCTTGCGACACCCAACAGGGGTTGAGAAATGCTGTTCTGGCTGGTGCATTCTACAAGTTATAGTCCAAAAAACCACTCTCTTCCAAGCTCTGGTATAGATATCCATGCACACACCACTTGTGACGGCCCCAACCAGGATCTGAAAAGCAGTAGAAGTACCAGAGCTTTTACCACATATATCTTTGATCCCCTAGAAAGCTAGTCCTAATAGTTGGGGGCATTCCATCATTGTATTCAAGGAAATAGAAAGAGTTACTATCTGAGCAAATTGGGAGCAGAAGCACTTAGAATCCTGACGTTCTGCCTGTAACCTGTAGTTTTGCATGTTTTCTAATTGCTCCCACTAGCTTTACTTCCAAACATAACCACACAGCATATTTAAACTACCGAAAGATTTACCGGTGTGCTAGATGCTGCTGAAAACACAGAAGTGGCTTGCTTACTGCCCAGAGGGCTTACGATTGATCTTTCAATTTACTTTCTTTTAACCAGTGCCACTTACACTCCCGAAGATGCATAGCTCATTGATTTCCCCCTGTATTTCTTGGGTCTTCAAAATCCCTCTCCCTCCCTTCTAATTATCGCGCTACACCTTCTGCCCGCGTGTCGCTTTTCTTCCCAATGAAGCAGAGCAAACTTTCAGGCCGGGGCCATCATTCTCTGGATGCTTTCCATGCAGTTAATATAAAGCAAGCATGTGTTTTCTTGCCACCTGGCCATCTGTATTTCTGCTTCGTCTTCAGATTTATACCCCCCGATTCACTACAGAAAGCTCTCAGGGCAGTAGTGTTTCATACTCCCCTAGAATTTAGGATTCACTTTTATAGCCCAAGCTGGCACCCCTTACAGCGTTGCTTGCAGTTGTGGGTTATTCTCATCTCTTTTGCATTGCTGGCGGGGGAGAGGAGCTCTTTTTTCTGAATGTATAAGAAAAGAATGTGGGGAACAATCTTTTCAGGCTCCCTTGCAATCCTTTCTTATAATCATAGGCTATGTGGGCATGATTAGAATTGTGGCCTGAAAAGGTAACGTTTCCATTCTCTGTCCAAATTCATTTCCTATCTTTGTTCTGTGGGAGGACACTGCAAAGGAACAAACAGGAACTAAGTAGCATATGCATAATAATTAACCTTGTTATTTCCATGCCAAAACCATCAGTTAATGATGGTGTGGGAAGTAACCATGTCACCACATGCCTCCAGCATGTTTTTTTATTTGATATGGTAATATAAAATGACTCACAGACCTCAAAGGTAGTATTGAAATGAAGCTTCGGTTTATCCCATCATTCATTCTGAACTTTTTAAAGCACATCAGGAGTGGCAAAAGTGGGAGGAGGTGGCTTTATCTCATCCCACTATACATTTTATTTGTTTGTTTGTTTTATCTATATGCTCTCTTTCCGATTAAAAAGGGAGCTAATACGGGTTGTGGCGCAGCTGGTTGGGAGTCAGCTGCATTAAAAT